ACTGGCACCCTGAGCTGGTCATGCTGGGGTCCTTCGTCGCAGCTGAGAAATTCGGGATTGCTAAGGTCAGTGCTCTGGAGCAAAGGCGGCGTTGGTGCTGCACTGTCACAACTATCAATACGGTGTCTAACCATTAATGCTTGACCTGCGCACTCAGACGTTCCTAAACACTCTTGCTCCTGAGCTACACTTACATGACATGCTGGCAGTCTGTCTGTTGGCCTTGTCGCAAACACAAACAGAAAGAGACGGGCATCTGAGGCTTCTGTTTCCAGGCGCTTGCCCGTGCAATCAGAACAAGCAGTCCAATCTTGAAGTACCTTGAAACATCTATCGCCTAGGGCGAAAACTAGAACACAAGCCTCGCTCATATGTTCCGGAGGTGGCCTTCGGACCACCTTTGAACGGTAGCCAATTTGAGCCGCCCGTATCTGCCAGGGCATGTCAGGGGAAATGAACCCATGTCTACCTAGAATCAAATGGACAGTTGCTAGCTCCTGCGGAAGCTGAACCCAGGGACCCTTAGTGTCCTTAGCCAAACGAAGTAAAGTGCTCTTAGCTGGCTTGTCTGTCCGCTTTGACAGTTCAGAAATCCTTGGCTTCCACTGAAAGAATTCGGGAGGAACCGGAGGATGAGATGAAGGTTGTTGGGGGTTAACCCGGTCCCGCCTGGAGACCTCTTCTAGGAACTCTTCATCCTCCGGTTTATCCTCGGCTGAGGCAGTCATGCCATGTGCCAGACCAGGAGGCGGGCTAGGCTTCACAGTTGTGTCTTCGAAACCGAACAACGGCAACATGTAATGACCAACTGAATTTATGTCTAGACTAATCCGACCTATCCCCGGGATATCCAAGGTATGGTTTTCACAGTCCAGCTTAGCCCGCATCTGGCGTAATGCTTGAATGGAAAGGAGGAAAGGAGCCTTGCCTGGAATGACAGAGGCCTTAATGAAGCCCTCGCGACCACCAAGTTTGACAGGATATTTTACTTGACAGGTAGCCTTAGCTTCCCCACTAATGCCCTCAAACTTGACATCCGAAGGCCCACGCTCTGGGCGCAAGTGCCCGCCGGTCTGCCTGGAAAGTTCTTCTCTCCAACGCTTCTCACTCTCCGAGCCTACTAAGGTAGATGCACAACCCGTATCTACAATAGCATGACCGGGGGGAACTACTAAACAGGCATGTTCAGCATGAGCAGGCTCTGCTTCAAGACCTAAGCGCATATCCCACATGAGACAACGATCTACCTCAGACTCTGTAACCGTTGCCAAGTCTCGTGGAACAGCTGAGGCCTTGAAACTGAATTCAGGGCGAAACTCCGCCAGCATCACGTGTTCCGAGCTTGCACCTGCTGAAGTTGCACTTGCTGATGCCGATGCTGCCGGAGCCCAGCCCAGGTACTGAGACTCTTACTGAGAGCCATTCGGATCTCCACGGCGAGTGCTCGAGCTCCTTCGGCCGGTTCCTTTGGACCGGCCCTGACCCTTTTGGCGTCGAGCGCCCTTTCCTCGGGACTGACTGGAAGACCGTGAGGCGGCCTGCGATCCCGGCTTCCATTGGAAGTCACCACGGCTAACTCGAGCAGGGTGAGCGGAAGCCCTTGAGCGAAACTCCTGGCCCTTCCCCTTGCTCTTTCCAGACTTGGCCGATTGATGGCCCTTTCCGGTCGCCGCTTCGGGAGGATCCTTGAAGCCACGGGCCTTGCGCAAGGAAAGCAGCTTCTTACGAGCCTCCAGGTAGCCGATCATCGCAGAGTTGTAGTCCTCATCGCCTGGGTCGTCGTCGGCCCATTCGTCGTCGTCCTCCAGTTCTTCTTCTTCGTATTCGGCGTATCCGCCGAACTCTTCTTCGTTCTCGTCACCGTCGTCCTCGAAGTCGTCATCGTAGACCTCCTCGGCTGGTTCGTCGAAGTCGGCAAAGTAGCCATGGCCAGAAACCTTAGCACCCTTGGATGCCACAAGCGAATCCAACTCAGTCTTGCGCAGCAAGTCAGCCACCTTGTCATATCTCAGAGAACCACCCGCAGAACGCAGCAAGCTTGCCCGAGTCTGCAGCGAAATGCCCACGTGACGTAAGTAAAGGAAACCCTTCAAGACCTCAGGCATATGGAAAGCCTCGACAGAAGGCAGCTCGATCGGAGGCGAAGGTGGCACAGGACCCGCTGGAGCTGTCTGGCCTTCTGGTAGACCTGCTATGGTGGCCTGGTGTTGCTGCTGGGCCACCACGTAGTCCAAACTTTGTCGCCTGTACTCCATGCGGATCAGGTCCTGCTGTCTTCGCCGCTCGAGCTTCATCTCTTCTGTCACCAGCTCCTCCACCTTCAGCAACGTGGTCTCGAACCGGGTCGTGAAAGAAGTCGTCTCCTCGCCTTGGTGTCGGCGCAGTCGGTACATTAAAGTCTCCATCCATTCCGACAGCTCCTGCTCTGGTGTGTATTGGAAGCGGGCATCGAGGATGTCCAGCATGGACTGTACCCCACCTGTGTTGCGGAAGTCTCCTGGATTGCGCTCTCGAAAGCATTCGAAAGCCGGTCCGGCCAGTGAAGCGATCAGTCGTGGGGCAGCTAGGCTTTGCTTGGGATCCTCGAGGCCGTGAAAGTACAGGAGCGCCCTTCGGCGATAGTCCCTGTACGAATCAAGCTTTCCATCGAAAGTGGGGATCCTTCTGTCGTCCTCCTTCGTGTCCATGTCCTTGGCGTGGATCTCGACCAAACCGAGACAGCACACCGCGCCCTGGATCGTTAAGGCAAAGCGGCTAGAGCAAACCAGGCTCCGCTGCCATGTTGATGGCAGGTATGCTGTCCCTCCTATCAGAGATCCTACTCTGATCCTGACACATTGCTGGAGTGTCTCCACAAGATACACTAATGTGTGAATTACCTTAAGGGTAGCTACATAAAGCATGTCTGCAGACTGTAGGAGGTTCTCCTCTTTTCCGCGCCCTACGAACGCTCACTGCACGTGCCTTGAGCCACCATGAAGGTGGTGACAGAAAGGAGTCTCAGCACACACACAGCAGAATACCTGCAAGATCACTACATGAAATCACAATAAGGAAGGACTCGGATGAGATGACGGACAGAGACGACAGCAAAACAGAATAGGGGAGATGAGAGTTGAGAAAACGGAGAAAATGACAAGGATTGATCATCAGACAACTCAGCTGAGAGTTTGCGTCGTGCGTTACATCTGAATCTGTGCGATGTACGTGACATGTGTCTGCATTCGGGTTGGTGGCCCCTATCAGGTTCAGATCTTGCTTGAAAAGCACAAGCCTTCTTCTTACCAGAAATGACGCCTCGGCACACTCCGTGTCTAGGCCGTGCTCGATGCATCTTGTGGTGTGAGATGCTCCACCTGCTTTGCAGCTCTGTAAGCACAAAATTGAAGCTTGTCAAACACAACCTGCTGCCACCCTGCAATGGCTATGCCTATGCAACACATGAGTTTTCAGAAGCCCTTGCGGCCTTCGCGTTTGCTTCCCCACCTTTTTCAACTGCGGTGGGATACAAAGAAAATGAAGTCTCAGGTATCAAACTAGCCTGTGGCGTCTTGTGGCAACTTGCCGTCGACTTGTGGCACGGTTGTGCCCCGAGCTCTGTTGGCAGGGCCCTTCAGCGGAACGTGGTGACGTGGAGGAAGGCTCTTTGTCGTTGCGCTTGGCTTCAGCCATGCGCATTGTCCAGAGCTTAGTCAGTGAAACAACAGCTGTACTAGACTAAGCTTGCAAACCAGAATTCAATCTTGCAAGGCCTGGTGTCCAAACTCGGCAATCATCGTAGCTGCGGCTCATGCCTGGGAGAAACACGTATAGTAGACTGCCGTGCGCACTTCTGGCACATACCCTCCCCGTGTCCACAACACTGGTACCAGGTCACTTCTGGAGACGTGGAGAAACAAACCGAAGCAGCCCTGCCACCCGCCATGTGAAGTGATGGTCCCATCTGCCTACGCCGCCATCAGCAGCCTACCACATGGTGCTAACCTCAGAACATGCATTGAACATCTTTCAAGTCTTCGAATGCTGCATGCTGTCCTGAGGCATCAACGCGGCAAATGTCCAAATACTGTTGGCCCTGGCAGGCTTTCCCACGTTGCATTCGCAAACACGCTGCTTATTAATCCGCGGTTTGTCATGAAGCAAGGCGGCATCGCAGTCCACGGGCATCCAATCCTTGGCACATCATCCGCAGCAGCTGAGCAGCCCGTGGAAACAACATGATGACCATGATCGCATGCTGTACGACGCCAACCGTTTAGCCCGCTGCCAAGGCTGTCCGCTGCTTCCTGCTGACAAGAGCTTCAGCATGATTCATACACGCCCATGTTCAACGCGGATGTGAACGGACCTATTCCACCTCTCTGAAACATCTCCTGCGGTCCTTCACAACCGACTTCAGGTGCAGGAACTGAGGGTGCTCAAGCGCCTCGCTTGAAGTGCTCTGATGCTGGGAGACATGAGCTCCGGCATGCCTGCGGGGTGCTGGAGGGGAGGGAAGGCGCATGCACATTTTCCAGTGCTCACACAGCGCCAGCTTGATGTTCGCAGTCCTGCGCCCAGGAACCTGCTCCTTTGGCATTCGAGGGCTGACTCACTCCTTCTAGCCGAGACCGACCGTGCGGGCATGATGGGTTGCGCAACGTCCAGGCAAACCGACCGGCACGTCTCTGTCACGAGACGACCACAGCCAACAAGTGAGTTGGAGTCATGAAAGACGGCAGGCTCTTGGGCACCGCTGCAGCACTTGGAATGACATCGCCTGACCTTTGGCGATGGCGATTGCGTGGGCGCGCTTGTTCTCCAGGCTCTCTAGCTTCTTTGCGATCTTGTCCACTCAGCTATTTTGTCATTTTGCAGGGGTAGACGGAATGATCTGGCTGATGCTCCTAGGTCGTGAACAAAACATCGGATAGGTCGCATAGGTACCTACTTGTTACTTGAATGCAGATTGTTGCCTAACCACCGTATTGTAAGCAGGCATCCGCATCAAGTCCAGTGTCTCAGCCGAGAGGTTGTGCTGGATGACTGCAAGGACACCCAAGCCTTGAACAGTTATGCTTCCTTCGAGGTTCTGTGCTTCCTGTCTTGCGCTCTGCCCTACACTCGTCCACAGTTGTTGCTGGCAGGAAAAGGTAAAATGTTCGCATGCAAGGCCATCCAGCATTCATGGGGTGCGGTTGAGGAGCCAAGTATGCAGCCAGCTCCTTCAGCTGAAAGTCGACCTTGCAGCATTTGCAGCATCGAAAGCTAAGTCACAATTCTGCCACTCATTGTCGCCACATCTTCACGGAGCACAGACCATATCCCCGCCTGACCGCCAGACTCCTCGATTTCATTAACTGCTGCAGTGAGCGTGGCCGCTACCTTCAAGTATGTGAAGTGGACTTTGTGACTCTCATGATTCAGCACTCTCGGCAACAAGCACCCCGTGCACCCAAACTCCACTCCACTTCAGAGCCTTGGCGACCACGGCCCGGTCCGACTGGAGCGCGCTGGGCATTCCATTGGGTTCCAAACCTTCATATGGCGATGATTTGCTGATTTGTGGTTTTGTGGTGGCGTGCTGCGATGGCCAAAGGCTGAGAGCTAGTCCAGTCATGGCAGCCAGGCAAATGCGTTGCAAGGCACGCAGCAGGGCATCTAAATCCAACAGGAGCTGATCACAACCTGAGGTGTTGCTGCTGGCATGTAACCGGCCACACTGCAACACCGCGTAGCCAAAGCACTTCAGTTGCAAGCCGGCGACTCCAACAGTTGGGTTTCAGATTCTTGTCCAAGCGCTGCTGGGTCAACAGTTTGCTGAGTCGCGCCACCTCCTCCTCGCGCCTGAGCAACGCTGAGCAACAGGGTTCATGGCACCTACGGCCACATCCAAGACGATGCCGAGTCTGCCGAGGTGCTTAGATTGCTCCTGCTGCTGGGCAAGCACATGCTCCCAAACAGCTTGCACCCGCTCTTCCAGGCCAAGCTCTGGCCACCTGAGCACGCGCTCCCTGTCGCTTTCGCCTCACCTTGCCTTTGCGCACCGTACACTCTGCAGCACCTTCTTTTCCGGCGACTGCCCATGTACTGTCACCATGCTTTAAACACTTGAGCTTCACTTAACGGATGTGACCGATCAAGGGTAGAGCAAATCCATGCCGTCTCAGCCTAGAATGTTTGGTTGCATATTGGCATTTTCTGTTAGTGTTCTGCGCCAACATCCTGCCAGAGACAGGCTCATAAGGTGAAATGGGGCCTCCGTTGGGCAAACTAAGTACATCATGCGCCCTATGTGCAGACTCCGAAGGCAGTGCGGCGATTGTCTAGCATCTTCTCGCAACAGCGAGGAACTCTGGCCTTAAGTGCTGCGCAGTATAACTGGGGAGAATTCCGGCTGAGAGTGAAAATTATGCTTGCGGTGCTCTCCTGACTCGTGGTCACGTTGCCAAACTGGCGGCGGAAGGGAAGCGTGATTTGAAGTTTGGGTCGAGCCAGCTCAGACAAATGTAGCCGAAAGGCCGACTTCGTCTCTACCACTGCAGAAGTATGCTCGCCCAGTTCTCAGATTCAATTACGTAACAGAAGTAGTGGTGTAAGAGACTCTTTCTAGCAACTTCCGCTGTGGCTGGGAAGCTGAGAGCGTTTTAAAAGCGCAAGCTGCAAGCTGCTAAGCCCGCAGACAAACCACGAGGCTGAAGCACCCTCTCCGATGGCTTAGCCAACGAAGAGGTATCATGTCTAATCATTAACATTTAACACATTTTTTCAAGAGGCTTCACAAGATTCTTGGTCCTGCTGTTGCAGGCTCCTTGTCCAAGCTTTGACAGGACTTGGTCTGATGCAATTCCCCAATTTGGCAAACCGGGCTACTTTTCTCGACGTGTGAAACACTTCTTGGACACAACTCCGCCACTCTCACAGTGGCTGTACCCGGCCCAAAACTTGTGAGACGGCGGCTTGCAACTGCTTCAGCTGCTCCATGTCCAAACCCCACCGCATTTGATCCTCCTGCGTGCTGTCCATGGATGCGAGTGCCTCGGTCAATCTTATGGACCAAGCCTGAAGCACGTCAAAGGACAAGCCAGGACGCTTTGAACTCACTGAACTTTGAGACACATCTTCATGGAGATGACTTTGCTCGCCGTTCGCCGCCCTATGTGCAGGATGCTCTGTGTGATGCGGTTGCTCTTGCTCAGTGTTGAGCTTCATCTGGGCCACGAAGAGCTCCAGCTGAGCCAGCTGAGCCGCCAAGTCGGGAAGCTTCACGCCCTGCAGGCTCTGCATGCTTGCTCCGCTCTGAGCTTTGCTCACCTCGTCGCTGTCAAATGCCGCAAATTGTGCGGGCTCACGCGCTGCAGCCACTGCTTGCTCGCAGATCTGCAGCACCGTGGGCTCACAGGCATTGTCTGCAAAACCTTTTCCCCCGATTGCATCCTGTCGAGTGACATTCGCCTCCTGCCCAGCAGCCTTTGTAGCCTGCGCAGTGAGTGCGACGCTGAAGCTGGACGCTAGGAAGCAAATATGCTGGCTCGCATCTAAGTTAATGGAGGGCAGTGTATAGGATTTGGGCTGAATGAAGAAATCTAGTTTGGCATTGAACTTGCGCTGCATCTCCCTCACTGGCAGATCATTCGCATCTTCACCAAAGGGCTGATCGATTTCCTGCGCAATGTAAAACAAGGTCCAGTACGAAGTTTCAACCACAAATACAAAAATCCCAGCCCACCATGGTTTCAACACTGTCTGGCTCGCAACTAGTGGAGTGAGAGTCCAGTGAATCACCAGCAACCAAGACAGAAACTGCGCATATGGGAATGGGAAAGGCACGTCGCGAATCTTCTTCAGGTTGGTCATGTTAACCATCCCACGAGACAGTTCTTGGAATGCCCGGGACAGGATTGGCGGAGGCACGTTTAGGAGCTTCGACTGCTCGGCTTCTACGATCAAGCGCTCAAGCCATAGCAAAACGGTCTCGCAGCGATCAGGGCTGTCTCTGAAATGTAGAAGGCCCTGGTTGCTGATGGCCCCGATATCTAGGACTTCCAGGCTGTCGTCATCAAGCTCACATGTTGTTTGTAGAGCGCTGCAGTGTAGGAGGCTCATCAATCTTGTCAGATACTGCCTCCGGGAATGGAGTTGGTAGTAACAGATACAAAGTAAGTAATAACTATAGGGACATTTATAGTCTGGATACACATTTCGGGCTTTGTAGCTAAAGATTTGTTTCCTGGCACGAGCACAACTTTGAGATTTGAGACTGTGATCCTGCCTGAACTCATGCACCTGCGCCCCCTTCTCTATGTCAGAACTGCAGAATGCGAGGATATTGCTAAAGGCGCTGGTCCACTCTCCAGAAATTTGATGGAACAGGGTCACGCTTTCCCAAAATCGTGAGTATGCTTGGTTGCTGCGGAAGACGATCAGGAAACCGAGCACAAACGTAAATCCCGACCAAATGTTATCAATGCCCTCCATCTCGCTGTTTGTCTCAGGCTTATTCCAGTACAAGTGAAGGATGACTGTCACTACAGCGCACGGCACTGACCACACCAAAGCCTTTGGGATGACGGAGCCGCGCAAGCGCAGGAGGACTTGCATTCCCCATGTTCCATGCTCGTACACAATCATGGCTATTGGCAGCAGGCGGCACGAAATTTATGAAGCTGAGTTGAACCAGCACCTGCGGAGTTTCATGCTGCTTGAAACTTGAAAAACCATGGTCGGGTGTTCATGTGGGATTCTTCAGGTTTCACACCCAAGTGGCATGGGCTCGGGGTCGAGATGAAAGACAGGCTCCTCCTGCAGGCGCACGAGCAGGGCAGAGGCTGCGCAGTAGGAGAACCATGAAAAAACGCTTTGTGGGCGTAGCAGGCAGATTGCACCACTAGAACACAAGGCGCAGGCTGCAAGAGCATGCTTAGACCAAGAGTTAGAAAGCATGCAAGAGCACGAAAACCATGCATGACGAATACTAGCGCTGCAGAGGGCATGTCATGCATGACCCTGAAAACCAACACACGCCCAACAGATAGGGATTTGCTAGCACCCAGTCTGGCATTTTCGTGGGGAGCTCATCGTCCAGCGCACCCGGCAAGATACTGCAGCGACATATGAATGTTCGGAGCCATGACATCCGAAAGGGATAAGCATGGTTTCAAGTTTCAAGCCTGGATCGACGTCTGTGGTGGTGGTTTTGTGGATAGCTGTGGCAGTGCAGCCGGCTTGTATGCATTGCCCGCGGGATCGTTTCGCAACTTCATGCGGCGGGCCTCAGAACGGTCTTCTTCAAGGCGCCTTCGACGACGCTCTGCCTGAACAGGCAACCCTCTTCAGAAGCCTACCTCACTCAGCAGGTAGATGGGTTGACCATGTTGAAATAATGGAACTCCACTTGGAACGTGTTCGAATTATGGAACTCCACTTGTTTTCCTACCTCGCTGAGGGGACAGCATGTTTCAGCGGGTATGCTGACCAATGACAAAGAGAAAGACCATTCTGGACTCTGCCCTGCGCAAGCCGTCCATACTACAGCCAGCAGGTTACCGCCGCCTCATCGTTCAAGACCCGTAAATGATGCAGCTCTTGACGGGCTCGCATGCCCTTCCTGAGTCAAGTATGCAAATGCACGCTTTACATCCTGTCAATTCGAAGCACTGGCAGGACTCAAAGACGATTGTGTGAGACACCATGCTTGATGTTGACTGGGTGCAGCAGTGTTTGCAAGCGCACAACTGCACGGATGCGGATGCGCTCCTTGACAGGGACTATGACAAGCCACCCTGGCTTGCTCCCTGAACCCAGACCTGGCAAACTTCTACTGGGCTTTGGAACGGCCTGCTCGTGGACCACGGCCAAATGATCATGAACCTGAAGCGCCATGAAGGGGATTTGCAACAACGCAGCACGATGCAGCACGCATGGATCACAATGCATGGCCGGATCAGGATGGAATTGCAACATTTCGCAACAATTCCTCGCCAGCCTGCAGCCGACTCAGGTGGACTCGGCTCATGCGCTGTATCTGACGAGCTGCCCACACACGCCTCCTGTGACTATTGAGCTGGTGACCGCGTAGCTACAACAGGTTTGCTATCCTGCCAGTATTCAGCATGGTCCTCATGTCCAGAAGGAAGAGTCTCGCATGGTGGACCCGGCAGGATCTCTGAATCTCACACGCCTTCAAATTCAGAACTGCTGTGGCAGGCTGATGGAGAACCATCGGTGATACCACTTATCGGGAACATTTACTTCCATTGCGCGGCGTGGCCGGTAGTTTGAGTTTGGCTGTGGTGCGAAGCCATATGCACTTCGCCATGGCCCCATTATGGACATGGTGATGGCATAGCTGCTTTGCAGGCAAGTTTACAGGCAAGCCACCGAGAAGGGTCTTAGGCCCGACGCTAGGGCAGCTCCAGCAAGGAAGCTGCGACACTTTGCGGCAACCTTGGCGTCAGCCGCATGCTGGTGTGTCGTGATGCCTCTCTTGAGCCTTGACAGCCGCTTCACCCTGGAGCTTCTGAAGAGCAGCCCGCCAAAGCTTGGCTTCCTCCAAGCAGCTGCACTTCAAGAGAAAGGCATACAGTAGGGTGGGCCTGAAACACCACGCGCGTGCGCTTCGCATGCTCCCCACGATAAACCGTTCACGAAAAGATCTGACTCGAGCCCGGAGAGGCAAAACAGGATCGAAACAGGTTTGCCGCTTTGCCTCCTCTTGCTGCTTCAGCTTCTCTGACCGCCTCCTGAGGTCATGGACAAGAACGGAATGCTCCGCGAAGGGCCGGGGCAGGGCACCTGGCCAGCCGCAAGCGTATTCGAGCCTTACGAGGAGTTGCAAGTGGTCTCCGTTGCTTATCAGATTGCTCACGGAACTTGGCAGCCTGAAATCTGACCATCAGCAACACAAAGTTCAGCTGCGCCCTTCGCTTGTGCTCCAGCATCTGGACCTCATAGCTAACCACCCACAAGAGGAAGAGAGCTTCACACTTTCATGCATTCCCAGCCTGCGCCAAGTATGTCCGGCAGTAGGCTTGGATTCTCCGGATTGATGGCATGCGCGAGCACCAGCACATGTACTGGCGAACCAGGTACACCTCACCCATGCGATCTCTTTCTACAAGCACACACGCATGCACACAAGATCATGCTGAGACCCACACCTTGATCTGCATCTGAATGGTCAGAGCTGCATGCCTGCGCTGGGCCTTGAGCTTGATGTACTCACTCCTGGTGAGGTGCGCAAATTCCTGAGCAGTATGCCAGATGTGCTGCTTGGCCATGAGAGCCCTGCTCCTACTCGCATTTTGGCAGACTAACGTCTCATCCAGACAGTATGCCGGATATGCAGATAAAATGAATGCACACTGCCAAGCTGCAGAGACAAGTGCACGTGACCTCGGAGGCTCCTCAATTCGTCTAGGGCTAAGCTCAGCCAACCGCAATCTGAACAAGAGCCGGATCAACAGAGCTCAGCGCCTGTGCAGGCGGCTGAGTCGAGACAGCTTCTGTATCCACAGCCACGGCAGATAAAGCGGAAATGGAAACGTGCGGCGGTTCAGAGGAAGGCCTTTGTTGCTTGTTGCTGCCACGGATGGATGGACATGGCTGCTCTGACTGCAGGCAGGTGTCCCATCAGGCGCAAGCTCTACACCGTGCTCCTGAGCCCAGGCGATCCTGAGAGCAGGACGAAGCTCTCAAAGACTGCGCTACGGGTTCAAAATTGAGGCAAGGTGCTCTTCCCTCAAGCGCTGCTCAAGCGAGCGGATCTCCTCCAGCAGATCATCCTGAAGCAGCGCAGTCGTTGTGCAGGACGTCAGTCTAGTAAAGCCTGGTACGACCCCTTGCCTGCGCAGACGGGATGCCATCTGAGCTGTCCACAATGCCCCCCGCTGCCACGTCTAGCAGGGCAGGGCCCAACGGCATGAACGCAGCAAATGGATAAATGTAAAGTACAGCGAATACTTCCCACCACGTTTAATCGCATAGGTCTCCTATGTCCACCGTGTATAACCGGGTCCCTTGACAGGCTACAACTGACAGTAGCTCACGTGCCAACCCTGTGCGTGGGTCATCAGGCTGCAGTCGGCGCACAAGGAGCCTAGACCGGCTCGAGGCGACTGCGGGAGAGCGCCATAACCAAGCGGCTGTATGCCTGACACGGGGCAGAGCCTGGAAAAAGCGTTCCTCGCAGTTCTGAAGAAGGTTCCGGTTCGCAGATGTTGGCAGCTTGTTCTGAAGCCCCCGGGTGGCCTCCCTGACTCAGCGCCTTGGGAATGCGCCCGGCGGACTTTGGAACGGCCAGACCTCAGGTTCAGAATCAGCGAAGCCTAGGAACTAGAACACCAAAGCAGAGCCCCGCAATACGAGGCACAGCGGTTAAAAAACAGTAAAGGGAAAATGCAACTCTGAAATGAAGAGCCAGGCTCCTGTCTCCTCGTGACCCTCTGGAGGCGGCGAAGAATGTAGCGGATCACGATCTGAGTGAGTATAAGGCAATAACCGCTGGATGGACTGCCGCCTTATGACAATAAATTGTTGTTTACAAATCTGGCTGAATATTCTAGCAACAATTCGGCTCCTTGCACGCCAGCTTGCAAACTTCCAAACTGCCGCGCGTTACGTAGCTCAAAGATGCAAGTGTCCCACGATAGCAGCAGTGCCTTGCGGTGCTGATCGCGGCACTGACCCCGCTCCAGTTGCTGCGCAATGCGGCACGCGAGCTAGCGACATCAGAGCGCAAGGCAATCGCAGAGCTTGAGCTAGGCGGTTAGGACCCGGTTGTGCAAGTAGCTTCAGGCTGTCCATTTTCCAAATCCGCACCTGCGTCTCTAACAAGCGGTTTGCTGCCTGAAGATGCCACGCTAATGCGACTCATTCCACTCAAGCTTTGATCCTGAACGCTCCCGTCTGGACATTTGTTCTCTGTCTCTCTCCGTCTATCTCTCTTTGTCCATCTCTCCTTCCATGGTCTCTACGCCACAAGACGACAGCACTGGGCTATGCCCAAACTCGAGAAATCACCCATGGATCGTGCACCCCAATCCTTGCCACAGAACTCTAGCGGGTCAGAGTGTTGTGCCAGTACCGGGGTCCAACAACAGGCTGCCAAATGCATCATCCAGGCAGCGGCCTTGCAAAGCTTGAGTTGTGGGGATAGCGGCATGTATCAAGTTTCGTGTAGCAAGCCACCTTCGAACACGTACAGGTTCAGCACGAGGTACGTACCACACGGGCAGTAGAACAACCAAAATCTACCGAAACAGCTCAGGTGCGCCACCCGTCGTGCCATGATGAGCCCGAAGCTGTACTGTTGCAGGGACCGTTGACAAGCTGTATGATTCATCGCCAGGGGGTACCAAGTTCGCACCATTCTCCACTGATTTGATCAACACAGCCTTCCAACTCCCCTTTCGCAGCAATGGTTGGCTTATGCCCTGTGCCTCAAGGTACTCCTTTCCCTGGAAACAGCTCGACCTCTGCTTGTACAATCCCCCTTGCCCCCCCCTTTCTTCATGTTGTTCGTGCAGGCGTTGAAGGGAACTCGAAAGCCCCCCTCAAGGCATTGCCTCCTCGTCTTCTCCCGGCTATAGGGGACCCTACAGCCCCCCAATTCTTCTTCTACCGGCTATGCCGAAAGGAGTGCTGAGGCTGCGCCCTCAAGCCTAGCGCGCACAGCCCGTACTCGCCGTAGATCCTCCAAGAGCTCCAGCAAACAAATTCAACTCAAATACGTTGCTCACATCAAGCTTGGAGAACCTCATATTTGCGCCTCCTCTTCTTTTCGGGCGTTAGGGAGGCCTTGCACCCCCCCAGAGCACAGCTCCGCGCCCTGCATGCGCCTCCTCTTTCTTTCTTTACGGGTGAAAGGGGGTAGTAGGCCCAGCCCTGCACCCAAAGAAGTCCTGCGTTCGTTGGTCGGTACCCGGAGGACGATGTATGCACGCTCAGTGCTGCAGAACATAACTCTATTGGCCTCCTTTCTTTCTTTCTTGCGGGCTATGGAAAGGAGCTGGCTCCTCTCTCTCTCTCTGTCTCGCCTCCTTCTTCTACACTCTGCTGGCGCGCCGACCAGGAGGGCGTAGGGGCTGCCGCCCCTAGCCCAAGCTGACGCGGCTTGTTGCCAGTGAGGATCCGAATGTTGTAGCAGAAAAAACCAATCCCCACGATCCCGTCCCGCCGTCTGTATGTCCTGTGGACCCCAACCGCCAAGGAACTGTATTGGCTCTCCACAAAACATCGATATAAACATATGCAAACCCATTCCCTCGTGTTTCCGGCGCGCCTCGCGGCCTCAGCCGCACTTGGCCTGCATCACATCAAAACTGGTGGAGAGACAGGCAAATGTTTTGGCATGATGACGTGCGAATTGTCACTTCGATCTCTGATGAGACTCACAAACGAGGAAACGGCCTTCAACAATGCCGGGCAATGCATCTACATGGGAGGGGGGCTCCCCATTTCAGCGTCTTCAATAAAATGCCGACAAAGCTTTCGCAATGCAACTAAGCTCCCCACAATCCGATTTAGCGCAGTGCAAGCGCTGACCGCGTCTAGCTAGTTTGCACGCTTCTCGCACACCTGGAGCTCCAAAGCATATGCTGTGAACTGCATGGTAAGAGGAACCGACAAGTGATAGTCGGTGTACTTAATATCCAAACCTCCCCCTAGTCTTGAACGTGTTTCTCCGGGAGGCCGGCACTGTATCTCTGAACACATACAGTGGTGAAAGTCTGCTTTTTGAAGTGGCAGCCAAAGGGACACAAGCATAAGTTGGCTTGGCTCGGGAAAATGGAGGTTCTTTCCGCAGGCATTCCATTTGACCACGGGCTGCTCTGCAAGTCGCTGCTGCGGGTGGCATCTGCACGATTGCGCAGGCCCTGCCACGAAGACTGCACAGGCCCTGCCTTCATTGGAGAACGTAGGGGGGGGCAGCCTAAATTCCGACTTTGCAGGTCTAGACCGGCATGCAAAATGTGGCGATTTGAGAAACAGGTGGCCTTGATGGCACACTCCGGCTCCTTGGTAGAGCCCGCCCCCTAGATCTGTACACCTACCGGGGCATTTGTTGCCGTGCCACCAGGAAATGGACTGCGTCTACACGTCTGCATGAGACAAGCCACCACCCTAGGCCGCTTCTGCGACACTTCTGTTTGGAACTATGGAAACTGAATGCGGTCGCCGAGTTCTCGCGCACCTCGAAACGCCTCAAATTCTCTGCACCCGTGGAATGGTTCTGGCCAACACCTCGCTCAAAGATGCAAAGCTCCTTTGGAGCTCCGGCTCTTGGCATTCTGGGTTTTCCCCACTCAGAAAATCATCGACACGGACCGAAACATCCCGGAGCGACGTTCTGCAGACAGTCTCCTCCTGGTGACGCTGGCACAACTTGCGAAAGTCCTCGCTGTGACCGGCTGCTTCGAAGTCGGACCCGGGCTCCTCACTTTTGATGCCAAGAAGCTGAAGCATCCGTGCTACTCGCTCGGTACCCTGATCAGGCAGCAATAGAACAAGAAGCTCTCGCAGCATCTTGGGCTCCAAGGGGTCCATCAAGGACACTCCCTGCTGTACCTCTTCAGCCTCAGACAATGCCTTGGGTGTGAGCTTCTGGCCATCAGCCTCTGACAGATGAAAAGCTGCAACCATGGAAACCATAGAATGCGGGCTTGAGATGATCTTGGACATGCTGACGTTGTAGGAAGATCTGAGCATTTCAAGATGGTGGCTGGATTCCATGCTGAAGTCCGGAATCTTTGTAGACAACGGCTCCAGGAAAAACTTCAATTTTGCGTTGAACTTGTGTTGCATTTCTCGGACTGGCAAGTCATTATCATCCTCCCCAAACGGCTGGTCGATCTCCTGGGCAATATAGAACAAAGTCCAGTAGGAGGTGGAGACCACCAGCACCATAATCCCAGCCCACCAAGGCTTCAGCACCATCTGGCTTGCGACCAAAGGTGACAGAATCCAATGTGCAACCAGCATGCAGCAAAGATACTGCGAATAAGGGAAAGGAAAAGGCACATCTCGAATCTTTCTTAAGTCGGTGACGCAAACCATGCCCTGTGACAGCTCCTGGAAAGCCCGTGAAAGAATAGGGCCTGGCGCCTCGATGGTCTTACGTTGGTGTGCCTCCATGACCAGGCATGAAATCCAAAGCAGGACAGTCTTGGATCTGTCCGGACCTCAGCAAGGCAACTCCTGACTTGGGCTCACAGTCCGATTGCGTTGTGTAAATCAAACTTACCTTGCAAGGACCACTGAGAGCGTACAGCAATGAGTCATAAAAGATCAGGGTCTGAAGGTACCTTGCCGATTGCCTTGCTACATGCAGGATCCGCTTGAGGTACCTGAACATATGGTGGACTGCGTGAAGTCTACAAATCCCAAGTTGGCCATGATATCTTTTAAGCTTCAGATAACCCGTCGGACCAGCCACGGCTCGTTTTTAAACACGTGTGATTTGGTCCTCTGAGATCCAGGCTTTTCTGCAGGTGCCACAAACTTTTCTTGCATAGCCCACCAAGATCTAGCACCTGCCATGCTCAAGTGTTGCACGAGGTTGCATGTGCCCGCCCTGCAGCCGCATGTTTGCCTCATATCTGAAGCTCTTGATACTACTTCTGACCTACAGGTTTGCTGTCGCTGTCGTTTGTTCCACGCTCGCCTCCAGGCTATCATCGCTCAGCTCGCACAGCGTCTGCAGGGTGTTGCAATGCAAAAGGCTCATCAGCCGCGAGAGGAAGAATTGGAACTCAGCGACTTCCTCTTGTTTCTCTGGGTTTTTGCTGCAGAAGCAAAGCAGGTTGCTGAAAGCATTGAGCCACTCTCCACCAATTTGCTGAAACAGCGTCACACTTTCCCAGAAGCGTGAGTATGCCTGATTGCTCCGAAAGACGATGAGGAAGCCAAGGACAAAGGAGAAGCCAGACCAAATGGTGCCGATGCCCTCCATTTCCATGTTCTCGTTCCCCTTATCTTCGCCCCAGTAGTTGTGGAGCAGGATGGTCACCAAGGCGCATGGAACCGACCAAACCAATGCCTTGGAATTAAGCTTCAACAGCCTGACCTCTATTCCGTCAAGCAAGGGCTATTCTTCAAGTGCTGCCAGGTCGCCTTGGGAATCACAGAGCCCCGAGATCTGAGAAGGACATGTATTCCCCAGGTGCCAGGATTGTAATCAATCATGCGAGGAAACCTCGGGTGCGTAGGGGGCTGCTGGGACGTTTGACCTCAGCACCCCGAGCCGTAAGCGCAGCGAAGCTAAAGAATGCGCAGCTAAATGACTCTTTGAACCGCAAGCCTGGTCTGCCAAATGCAGGATAAGCATGCTCTGCCCCAAAGCAAGTGCCTCAAAGCCAGAATGCACCGTTTGTCATCAGTTTGAACTCGATCGGTCGGGAAGCCGGGCTCTTCAAGCCCACGAATGTAAAATGCTTGGCCCGTGCCTCACAATACCAACAGCGGGAGTAATTGCTAGCTCAAGTTGATCCAGCCACGTAAGAGTGGTCTGAGGCCAAGCATGAAAACTCAAAGCGCAGTGTCGACCAGCGTATCAGCAATGTTCGGCAGCACTAAAAAGATGTAAAAAACGCTCTCTCTCCTCAGCGGCCTTGCAAACAGTAGTTGAGGACTTGTGATGCTAAGGTCACGTGTTGTGATCAAGGCCTGGCAGACTTCACGCTGCTCCACAAAACGCTGCAAACAGTTTTGCTGCGCGATGCTATGTTTGCAAGCACGGCATAACCCAGTTTCAGGAGGTGAAACATTGAAAAGAACGTCAATTGGCATTTTCAATTACAAAGCCTATGCCATGCGCCTGGCACTCACGGCTAGTGTCCGAAGCGTGCGCAAGCGAAGCCTACACTCGTCTCACTCTGCCCAATCCCTCCCCAAGGCGCTTGGTTAGCAAGCGAAGCTGCCGCTGATGATCCGGGTGGAGTCTGTGAAGCAGTTCCGAAGCTACCAGGCTGTCCAACTTTGTGGATAGCTCTATGCAGGGGTCAGTGACATTTTCATGCGATTCCGTCGGGCCGGCTCGTCTGACGCTATCTCGTGCGGCTTCCAGTGCCACCGAAAGCTCTGAAATGCTCTGCTCCCTAGGCAACATGGCAAACAGCTGCTTGAGTTCTTCCAGCTCCCACACATATGACCCTTCCCCTGCCCCCAGAGGGAGTCCTAAAGAGACCTCTGAATTTTCGCGAGGAGCAACTTCACGAGCGAAGCAAATTGAGTTGTGACCCTGAGATGACGTGCACGCACAAGTGCCAGCAGCACCACCGGTTGGGCTGTGCTGCTCAAAGTCCTTTGCGAGCGTAACCTCTATGATTTCGTGCTGTGAGGGATTCTTGCTGACCTGGCTCATATCGTTCATATCATTTTCGCGGGGCCGATCCACACCACTCTCGACATCTGCGTGCTGGGGCAACAGGGCCTCAGGTTCCGACTGTGCGGCTGCCTCCGAGAGAGCTGCCACGGCTGCCACAGAGTTGGAGAGGGCAACGCTAAATGTGGAACTCAGCATCTGGATATGCTGACTCGCGTCTATGTTGAACTCTGGCACGCTGTAGGACAAGGGACTGATGAAAAACTCAAGCTTCTCATTAAAGTGGCGCTGCATTTCTCTCACCGGCAGATCATTGGCATCCTCACCGAAAGGCTGGTCGATCTCCTGCGCAATGTAGTAAAGTGTCCAGTAAGACGTGGTAACAGCGAAGACCATTGTTCCGGCCCACCAAGGTTTCAGAATAATCTGGCTGGCAACAATTGGCGTAATGAGCCAGTGCACAACCAAAATGAATGACAGGAACTGGGAATACGGGAATGGGAAAGGAACGTCACGAATCTTCCTCACGTTGGTAACGCCGACCATTCCGCGAGACAGCTCTTGGAAAGCACGGGAGAGGATGGGGGCGGGGACGTCCAGAGTCTTGTTCTTGTCAGCCTCAATGATGAAGCGCTCTAGCCAAAGCAGCACAGTCTCACACCGGTCTGGGCTGCTCTTGAGATGTATCAAGCTCGTCCGACCAATGCCACCTAAATCTACTACTTCTAACCGATCATCATCGAGCTCACACAAAGTCTGCAACGCATTGCAGTGCAAGAGGCTCATGAGCCTAATGAGGTACTGGCGGAACTCGGTAACTGCGGCATGCTTGTGTGGATCCGCGCTGCAGAAAGAGAGAAGATTGCTGAAAGCACTCATCCATTCTCCGGAAATTTGATGAAACAATGTCACGCTCTCCCAAAAGCGTGAATATGCTTGATTGCTGCGGAAGACAATGAGGAAACCCAAAACGAACGTGAATTTTGACCAAATCTGGTCTATGCCCTCCATTTGCTTGTTTGCGTCACCTTTCTCTGTATCCCAAAAAAGATGTAGAAGGACGGTGACTGCGGCGCATGGCACGGACCAAACCAAGGCCTTTGGCAGGACAGATCCTCGCAGTTGCAACAGGACTCTGATGCCCCATCTCCCGTGGGAGTATTCGATCATGACGGCAAGAGGCTGCCTACCTGCTGAGGGCGTCTTGTTTGAGCCAAGGGTCTGCGCAATCTTGCTTGTAACGCATTAGAGCGATTAGAGGCGCAGAGTGGCTGGATATCTCTTCTCTTGCGAGATGAACCTTCCATACCGAAGGCAGTCTGCTCCCACATCCGCAAACAATGGCAGACAAGCCTGTAACAAGCCCTCCAAGCTGCTCTGCGCCAGGAGTTCTTCACCCATTGCCCTGCAAGGGGTCGAATGCACTCAAGCATGACGAGTTTTCAAAGTGCTGTAGGACTCGACGTTTGGTGGTATGAGATGAATTGAGATGACAAGTCAAGCAAGTTTCGGGTTGCCACTGCATGAAGCGTGTCCCGCTGCCCGTTACCGCCTCTGCAAGCGAGGGAAGCCCTTCTCCTGCTCAGCGACCGCACAAAGCACTTATCTTAAGCTTGCTCTATCTGATGCATCCCGTGAGGTGCTAGATCAGAGACCCGGTTCCAATGTGCAAGTAGGCGCGGCCGAACGAACAACGTGCCTAAGCAGTCAACGCCGGAACTGTGTGCGCACGAGACGCAGCAGCAGCAGCACATTCAAGTAAGCGCCTACACCCCCTGGCCAGAGCAAGGCAAAAAAAACCTAATATCTTATCACTGTGATTGCGGCGCAGGCCTCCGAAAAGCTTGCGCGTGGCGCCCGGGGCAGCCGACGCAATACCTGAAAGCTGCGAGTCCGGCGCATGACTTCCCCTTCCTAGCAACCTACAATCAGAAGCCAGGCATTCTGAAGGGATGTCTTTTCTTCACTAGGCCTATCCGATCCCGTGCTGAAACATGACCATTAGGCAAGTCTCCAAAGCTATCCTGCCTGCAGCATCATGGAATAGTTGCTCCAAAGAATTCTGGCAAACTGTCAATCCAAACTGACAGGCGGGCATAGCTTCCACTATCTTCAGGACCGAACTCAGCAAACAATAAACAGCTGCGCATGTCACACTCTGGCCCTGCACGAAAACACGGACATGAGCTGACTTGGCAGCACGCTGGTGGGTCCATAGCAGCTACTTGCACTCCATGTTGTCGGCACACTGTGTCCCAACCGAAGCTTGAGCTTTGACATACTAGCGCAATCCAGCTTGCTGCGCTGTCCATGCTAATTGTGAACTCTCACCCGGCAAGAGAAGCCTGGCATGTATGCTGCTACTTGCCGACAACTTTCAGTTTTAGGTTCGCATAGCGCCAGGAGTGGGCTGGATAGCGGGCAAGTTTGCTGGGTCACGAAGATTGCGTGCTAACGCATCCAGAGTGCAGACTTTTTCACTAGAGGGCATGTTCCGCCCGAAATAAGAATCGCCAGTCGCACCGCCTTAGCCTCGCATTTTGCGAGTCTAAGTGCGCGCTGAGCATAGGACTGGTCTGACATATGCCAGGCTGTCAAATGCACGGATTCCTCCGAAGCCACTGCAGCTGGCATGGGGAAGTCTAAAAGCCGCACTATACGAGCCTCGAATTCAAGCGTCATTGCAGCCTTTACTGGGAGTGTTGCGTACAAACAGCCCAGTTTAGCCGCCTAGGTGGACGTCAAATATTTACGTAAATTTACATCATACCCTGCACTGGTCCATTAAGACCTCGGCTAGAGCTTCCTTCAATTTGTACATCTTCTGCCGCAGCGCGGGTTCAGTGAGCGCACTCTCACGCTGGGAGAGCAAGTCTTCAACTCTAAGAGAAAGGGCAGTGAGCGAGGCAGTGTACAAATTTCTGCTTTCCATTGACAAGCTGGCACTTGCGGCGGTGTTGGCTCTAGGTTTCCTAGACGCAGACGCTCTATCAGCATCTATGCCAGCTGCTTCAAGAATCCTACGTATGTCAGCTATTGCGAAATCTTCTGGAAGCACTTTGGGCAACAACTCTTGCAGCACGGCCGAGTTGAGAGGGTCCTCGAGTGGCTCCCACACAACTTGTGAGCTGTCTCTAAGGCTTCCAACCTCCTCTACGGAGAGCGGGTTCGCAGTGGGTAAGGCCGGCATCTGTTGTATTCCGGTCTCATCCGGCGCAGAAACAGGTGGAAGCACGAACGTCTGCGAATCCCTCGACGCCGAGTTCTTGAAATCCAAAGTGAGCGAAAAATTGGAACCCAACATGTGGATGTGCTGGCTAGCATCCGGCCGGAACTCGGGCACATTGTACGACAAAGGTTGTGAAAAGAAACTTAATTTAGAATTGAAATCATGCTGCATTTCCTTGATGGGCAGATCATTTGGATCGTCACCAAATGGTTGGTCTATCTCCTGCGCGATATAGAAAAGTGTCCAGTATGACACGCATACCACAAAAACCATGATGCCAGCCCACCAGGGTTGGAGAATTGATTGGCTGGCCACAATAGGGGTGAGAACTGTGTAGATGATGAGGACGCAGGCCAAGTGTTGCGAGTATGGGAACGGAAAAGGAATGTGAATCTTGCGCATGTTGTTCACGGTCACCATGCCCCGGGAAAGTTCCTGAAAAGCTCTGGAGATGATAGGTGCTGGGGCGTCGATGATCTTGCGCTTGTCTGCATGAACAATCAACCTCTCAATCCATAATAACACGGACTCTGCACGGTCTGGACTATCTCGGAGGTGCTGCAGGCTTCTCCTGCTGAAGCCACCTAAATCAAGCACCTCTAGGGTGTCATCTTCTAATTCGCACATATCCTGCAAGGCACTGCAGTAAAGGAGGCTCATAAGCTTGGAGAGGAGTGCCTGGAAGTCACGTACCTGAGTACACCACCAGTACAGCAACCATTTAAGTACCTCCCCCTGGCAAACTGAGCACTTTTCTGAACCGCACCGACCGCACCATGCAGCAATGCAGCAATGCACGAAACAAAGACTATCCCGGAACGGCTCACTATCCAAAAGCGTCTCAAACAACTCTTTACCAACTAAGTCCCATACCTCCTGCTGCTTGTTGTCTTCTTCACTGCAGAAGGCCAAGAGATTGCTGTAGGCACTGGTCCACTCGCCAGTGGTCTGATAGAGCAGAGTAACGCTTTCCCAGAAGCGATTGTAGGCTTGATTACTTCGGAACACAATGAGGAAGCCGAGCACGAATGTGAATCCTCCCCAAATCGATTCAATGCCTTGTACCTCCAGGCTTGAATCACCCTTTGGTGTTTCCCAAAATATATGTAACAAAACGGAGACGATGGCAGCGGGAGCAGACCAAAACATAGCCTTTGGGATCACCGAACCGCGGCACAAGCACAGCACTCCCATGCCCCACATCCCATGATGGTATTCGATCATGCTCAGCCAAAGGCCGAGTATTCGGGGGGGGGGTGGCTGCAGGCGGGGATGCTGCAAGACGAAACAGCTACAAACAATCGAGCAAGCTGCAGTCACGGTTGACCTTCTGACATTACACAAATGCCTGCACTTCACGCCTTGGAATTCGGCTAGGAGGGTTGGACACAGTACAAGCCACTCTGGCTGGAGGCGCCCAGGAAATGCATAGAAACCGTGCTGCTGAGGCTAGGCCAAGCTTTTGTTCACTCCTCCTTTGCTGGAGGCTGACGCATCAGTATCCGGCCGAGCACAGCTGATTACAAATCAAATCTCAGATTGGCGCAGCTGGGATCAGTTCTCATGGACAGGTAGATATACTTGATGTGGCTTCCAGTACATGCGCATGCATGAGTGAGGCTAAGCAATGCGATGGCTTCATCGGAGGGCCTAAGCCGAAACAAGCCCTTTTCGATGGCGCTTTTGAGTGACATCTATTGGGCAAGGAAATACAATTCAAGGGAATCCATTTGCACCTTGTAATATTCTCAGGCTGATACTATTTGCCCCTAGCATGGGCCCCTAACCTTGAAGCTGTTACTCTTATATTCTCTATACAGCTTTTTTTAAAAATCCGTAGTCAGGCCGAAGCGTGTGACGGACATGCGCTGGGGGCGCTACAAGCCCAGTTGAAGAGCCCAGAGTTAGGAATTGGGGGACAGGTGTTGGGACGCTAGAAGTACGCCTCCGGCGATTGAGGACTTGCTTGTTTCCCGACATTGCCCTGGAATGTAAAATGCTCTAAATCTTTGGATTTCTCATTGATCCGAATTTGACTTGTGGATGCTTCTTTATAATACTTCCGACCATCCCGGAAATTAAGCCACCTGAAGGCAAATGTCAGGACTCAGAAGTCTGCCGTTCATGCTAGAACTGACTCCTTGGCGTGTGATGCCAAGCTTTAGACTGAGTCTGATGCACATCCGTGCCAAGGAGACTCAACTGAAAACGCTTTTGCCTCTGTACGGGCCCTGCGTGCAAGAACAACACATGATGATAGAATTGGGTCGAAGTGCTTTGGCCATGTGGAAGGCCTAGACCTTTTGTGATCGATAAGTGTGCAGGAACCCGCCATTCATGAATTATGCCATGCGTCGCACATGTGCCAAAAGAAGGCTTTACAAGTGCCTGCGGTTTGCTTTGGGCAAGAGGCAAACGTTTGGTTTCCCAATTGGGAACAAAACTTAAAACTGGTCCCCTCCTAGCAGGAGACGTCAAAAATTGTGCCCCTTCGCGGGAGCAGCTTAACAAGTCCCACCAAGGTCGCTCACCCTGGTTGAGGCCCTCTCAAGGGCTCAAAATTTTGAGCGCGTATTACGTGAGCCTACCTTCGAAGTGGCTGCAAGCAATTACCGACTCAGACGAATTCCAAAAAATCATCGCACCTGTCAGTTGGTATGAGTTGGGGTTGCGCAATTCAATGAGAAATTTATAGCTTTCTATTGCTCCAGGCCTGACAAATCACTCAGCTTCTGTTGACCCTCTGTTGTGGTACTTGGGCCCGACAAACAGGTCATCAGAAAGGCCTCAGCGTAGCAATCTGCCAGCCATCCCATAGCCCCACCTTATCACTTATCACTTATCACACTCCTTGCTTGGGCGCAGCCCTATGCCTTCCGATTCGTGATGAGAAGAAGGCGTCAAGTAACGTTCCTAACCCAAGAAATTCCGTAGACACGGCCAAGTGCCGCCCAAACGCAGACTGCATCGTGCAAAATGCAGATTGCGAGAACCTCAGCACTGGTGGGGGCCGGTACACATCACGTGACTGATGATTTCAAACGAGCTGCAACTACGCTGACCGTGTGACAGCTTTACAAATCTTGCGCTGCCACGGCAATGAGACCTAAGCTCGCGTCCATAAGCACCTCGCATAGCAGATACTGCAGAAGCCAAAACAGGCAGTGCTGTCCCAGCATCAAGAAAATCAATGCATCAGCGATGGAAGACTGGGGGCGGGTTGCTATGTCAGCAGGCCTCAGATGTGCTCTGCAGTTGCAGAAGACTGCGATGTGATTTTTTGAACCCAGACTGGTGTGTTGTGCCCTTCCTCCTCCCTCTTTGCACGGCTGCTGACTGCCCAGGTCATATGCCTCGGACAACCTGGGAGCTACCGTTGAGATCCAAAGCCCTGATGCGGATGAAAGCTAAGCCCGCCTTCCAGGAAAGGACCTGGCAGCGTGACTGCGTGGACCCAGAAACAAGGGAGCGTGTCTCTTAAAGGGACCCCCTAAAAATGCGCCTCTCATCAATTGCTCCTAGAGTGCCCGACGCGACAAGACCGAAATACCTCGTACCCTCGCCATCTGGTGTCCATGCAAAGCAGCCTGCCTTGGCCTTGCTTCCATCCAGGATTGAAGCACGTTCTGCCAGCACCTGCAGCTGGAGCGGAAGTGCAGGTTTGCTGCCGCAAAGCAACCTGGACCTTTTGCATTTGCTCAGCCAGTAGATGCAAAGCTAGGGTGACTTTCCATAGTTCTCGTGATGTCTTCAAAGTACAGAAACAGCTCTACGGCACGCACAGGGCAATTCATTGCAATCTCAGAGCTACAGTGTCAGAGTCCATCTTCCAGGAGCTGCAACCGAGATCCTACCATACCCACTGCTTATCGCTTCGATGAACCGAAGGGCCAACGAAGGGCCAGGGATTGCCAGGGCCAGGGCCCCCGCCTTCGCACGGCCTCGGAAACCTCGCCTGGTCTCGAGAAGCCCCCACGCCACCTGCACTTGACATGTTTTTTTATGCCACTGGTGCTTCTGACGTGGAGCCCGTCTAGTTGATAGCCGACTGCAGCTTTGAACAAGATAACTCCAGGATACTCCAGGCCACCAGGAGAGTGGCGAGCCACTTGCAGGCTGTTTTCACCTCTGTGCCTTGGCTACGCTGTCATTGATTAAGCTTCTGCGCACGCACCGAAAACCCCGCTTTGCGCTTCTTTCTGGTAACTCTGCCCTGCCGCACGCCCAAAACAGAGTGACTAGTTGCTGCTGCACTCACGTCACAGTCCTGTTTCTCCTGACCGCCCTGCTGTGTCAAAGCCCACCCTCTTCCCCAAGTGCTAACCAGGGCAGGTGATTTGAAAATGCCATCCAGGGGCATTCTGATTGGGCAATGGTTCGAGAGCGCAGTCGATTCTGGCCATCAATCCACACGTCAAACTCCTAGCAGGTGCAGCATCATGCCGTCTAAGCCAAACTTAAGGGATGAGCAATTCTAAGAATTTGGCATCTGCGCATCGACTACAGCCTACAGCATGCACGGCTCAAAGCTCCTTCTGCATCATGTCCTGGACCTGAAACAGAGGTCTGAATGAAAACCACTCAAACTTGAAGTACGGGTAGGCAACTGTAAGGGCTGCCCTGCCAAGGCTCAAATCGCGTCCCATCTTGAAAAGCTTGGCGTGCTTTATCGAAGTGGTGGTTGTTCTGCTCTGTCAACGCTAGGTTCAGCCTCATACACGCCGGTCATGTAAACCAATGCCTTCACATGCCTACTGCAGATGTGCACCAAATCATGTCGGGGTCAAGAAGCCTCAGCTTGCCTGAAATCTGATGGATCAGGCGCGCCGTAGCCGCAGAGTAATAGACAACAGAGCGAACAACACCACGGAGACTCTACGGCTTAAACTTCAAGTGTGGCTTGCAAGGGGGCTACAGTACGACTCTGAACGTGGTTTTACAGCCCAAATGCAGCCTGCTGCAAGGCCGGTGCCACACTTGCATCCCTTGCATCTGTCGAGCAGCCAAGTACAAGCAGCCGCGGCACAGGCAGGAACCTCTTTCCTTTGCAGTGGTAGATCTTTGCCATTCTTTGCCACACAGACAGATGACCATTATGACCAAGGCTGGCGCGCTGCCGGCATGTGCTGTTGCAGAGCTATGGCCTGCCGAAAGTCTTTGATGCGTCATAATTGCCCGCAAGACTTCTGCATTATCGAAAAGCGATGCAGCGCATCCTTGGTATGTAAAAGACATTGCCCCACGCTTTTCCCTGGCAAGGATCTGCGCGGTTGAGCACTATACCCGTAAGCCTTGAGCGCTACAAGCGCAGCGTGTATGCTTTCAACGGTTTCTCCAGCTAGAAAGCTCATGGGATACATCTGCGAGAACTGACTCTGAGTGTGCTGAAGCTGTGCCGAGACACTGTCCGGTACACCGCTGATGCTCGGGCCCACTTCCGCTCGCGTCTCAGCTCTACCGCATGGTAGTGAAGCCTGCAGCAGCCCCATTGATCAGAATGCACGTAAACAGAAGGCAGCCATGCACTGCTTCTTCTTAGCAATGCCGTCCTACCTTTCCTCGGCGGGCCTGACAAAGGTCTTTGCTGGCATTTGAAATGGAAGTCCCTAAATCATCATCATGAAGTCCCACCACTATCTCACACACTCGTTTTGCAACGACGGGATTGCAACCCGTCAAACGAGCGGGTTGCGACCTTTTCTTTGTGGATTGTATGCTGGTGCCAAGTTGTGGATGGAAGCAGCTTCCAGTTGAGTTAGTTTGTGCGCTACTTCGTTTCTAAGGCAGGAAGTCTCTGGCCTCTTGCAAGACATCACAGAGGACTCGTTCAAATCTCTCGAAAGCTACGGAATCCGCAGAACCAGCATTTACGAGTTATTCTGTTCATCCCATCGCCTTGCACAACTGCCACGGCGGTGGTTGGCAAAGCCTCTTATGGGTTTGTGATGTTGCCTCAAGTTGCCTCACAGGCAATTTATGATTCCCGGTTGCTGCACTCAAGGAGCCGTGCCAGTCGCTTGAAGGCTGAGCTCTCGGGGCCAGTGACCTGCCAAATGTGCTTAACTTGATTGACCGGATGTGTCCTGCATCCCTGGCCTGGCCTGTGCAGCTCCCTTCAGTGCTGCTGTGTAATAGCCCACTGCCGCATCTTGGCTGGGGCCTAGGCTACACCCTGATTTCAGCTCTTGGGATCCTGCACGCACACCTGCACAACGCGTGTGCTTGGATGGCCACGCAGTCAATGGCTGCTCTCAGCGACGAGAAACTGAGGCGTGCAATCGTGAGAGCCTACGTCATCCACACCTGTTGTCAATAATTAGCTAAAGTAAAAGATCTCCAACCCCACCAGTTCTGCCGGATCCCAGACGTCAGTGTACGGCAGATTTGGACACCCAGCATTTTCCTCTTCAACTGATTTGGAACTCGCAAAGGATTACTGTAAAGAAAGACCCACATGAATTCAACAGCAATGCTGCGCAGTTCCGGCAGCAGATTTTCATGTAAAGAAGGTGTCATTGGCAGTAAGCCTCTGAGCCCTTCTACCTGGCTACCTCAAAGTTCAGGCGCTTCGGTGCCTGCATGAAATAGGGTCGTCGCTTTGACACGTTCGGAGGCGACAGCGGAATCGGGTCCGCGAGCGGGCGGCTTTGAGCTCTTAGATGCCCTTCATGAACTCTGTAAGCTTCAGAACTTGCATGCGGGACCGAGTGCTGATGGCAGCTGCTACGTTTCCCACATCAGGCGGTGTCCGCAAATAGGCATGTGAGCCAGTGCACTCTGAAGTAAACCCTTCTGATCGCTTGCATTCACTTCTGACAGCGGCCGTCTCCCCTTCCCAACAAGAATCATCCGTTATTTTTGACTTTAATGTAGGTGTGGTGCCCAGATGGGACTCTAAGCTTGCATATGCTTAGGAGCCTCTAGGTTTCAGTGCGAAGGAAGGCTTTCTGGCCTTTCGAGGCCGAGATGCTTCCAGACCTTTTAGGAGTCAAGTACTTCTAGGGCGAGTAATGCGGTGCAGACACTTCTCGGAGTGGCCCACGCTCTGGACGAGCCTGGGCAAGTAGCGCATATCGATTCTGCAGAGGTCTGCCCATAGGCCGCTGCAACCCAGCGGCCATTTCGCAATGAGCTCATGTACAGGCAAATGACGCCAACAGCTGGCAAAAGCCTCTCTGGTACAACTGGCAAGCCTCGAGCCTACAGATCGTCCATCAGCCCAAGCCTTAATGCTCGCCGTATGGCCATGCTGATCAAACTGGAGCTGGCGCTAACTGCTCTCTGGGCTTAGCCCTTGTGCCAAAGATCTGGCTGGTGTTCAGCTTTCGGGTAGGCAGGTGTTGCAGCTGACACCTTGTAGGCTTCTCCGCCGAGCATCTTTTCGGGGCCCATGGAACGGCTGTCTACATGGCGGTGCGGGTTGCAACTTGGGCAAATGCCAAAAGCTGCTCGCAGCATGCACAGGCTATGTCAAATTCTGGAAGATTAGCAAATAATACAGATATTGGAGAATCAAACGGACAAGAAAATGGAACATGAAATGGACATGGGTTATAAAGTTTAGCTCTGCTGTCGTGCACACCTGACTGAGCATAGGTCAGTCCTGGCTTCTCAAACATGTAAGGATTTCTAGATTCTTAACAGATTCGAAGCGATTTGCCGAAAGAGGTGTCGGGAGCGGATCCAAGGCAGCTTTCATGCTTCGGCACCAAAGCTATCACCGCTACAGCCGACCCGCTGGCACAAAATTGGCAATTTGGCAAACTCAGGATCTGCCACGCTGCTGCCCAAGGCAAATTCTTAACAATCTAGAACATGGCCTGAAATTTGACAGGCCATGATTTTACAAATCCTCAAACTCTGAGTGGTACTTCGGCTTGGCTTGCCGAATGACATTGTAATTACAGGAAAGATGATGTCCTCGGCACAAGCTTGCCCTTGCATTTTGCGCAGTAGCCTGCATCAAGTGTGAGCGGGTTCCTTGTGAGATCTTATCAGGAAGTTCGTTTCACCATGGTCCTGCCTGTGTACTCCCTTGCCCGACCGCGACAGCTCAACAAGTCATCTGGCTGTCAGTAAAAATTGCCTCAGCAGATCAAAGCAGCAGAGGTAGCTGGCGAACAGCAAAAAAAAACCTGCCAGGGAACGGCCAAAATGGAAGACGGCTTTGGGCTGACTCTCAAGCCTGGGTGCAGACTTGAAGCTTGACCAGCGTGTCAGGACCAACGTGTTGGCTTTGCAAGCCCACAAGGAACAAGCGCCCGGCCAGCCAGCCACAAAAATTGCTTGTACACAGATTAGACGCCCTGCACCACCTTCCAGGATAAAACCTGCAGTGCCCAAAAATGAGGATCTTGAACCTTGAACCTTGAAAGCTGCTTGGAACTATAGCCCCCCTTAAGTAGATAGAATATGGGGTATAAGGGCATCTTACTATAATCTACCGAAAGCCATGTTCTATCTACTTAAGCGGGACTATATACCTGAGGTCCAAGCCTTGGCCTTGCTGCCATCCAGGTTTGCTGCACGCTCAGCCAACACCTTCAGACGGCAGAGCTAAACATCTTGACTAAAGCCAAAATAACTTGCCTCGGCCTCTGCTCCCCCCCCCCGCGCCTCTACCACCCATTGACACTCGTTTTTTGCACAAATGATTCTGGCCGGGAAAGGTATGGGGCCATCCCGCTTTTTGTATCTTTCCGGCTCGTTTTGTTGCCCCCCCTCCAACGCCCTTTTGTCTAAGGCTAAGGTTGGCAGGCTCTTCACACGAATACTTGTGGCCTCCTTTGCCAACCCAGCTGCCGAGGCGGACGCGCGCTCGCGCTTACAATTACCTGGGCGATCCTGGGTGCAGCTGCCTTTGCTCGCAACCGGAAGCCGAGCTTGGTCTCCAGGAGGCCCCACGCCACCTACTGCATGTGACTGGTGGATCTTGATCAGCAAAAATCGAAACACTTGCCCTGGGCTTGATTGCTTCCAAAAGCAAGCACAGGGTGTTCAAAACAGCCCAGCCCAGACACCAGCAGAGTCGCAAGCCACTTGCACGCCACCTGAACCTCCGAGCCTCAGGTTGCCGCATTGCATCAAGGCATACTTGCTTGAAGCTTTCTCGGATAGCTACATCTACAAGTCTGGAAGGCCACTTGACTTCTGTAAGTCCTGCGAGACTTGCATGATAGCAACCTGCATGGCCCTGTTCTTGCGAAAGAGAAAGCAGAGAGGGCTCAGAAATTCCCAGACCTACATGCTGCCAGGAGTCTCGATGTTGCGTCTACAGTGCGTGAGCGCAGACGGTTTTGCCCATCAATCCACACGTCCAAGTCCTTCTGCATCAATTCTTGAACCTTAGTCTTAAACATTCGCCAGGGCCTAGGCCAGGGCCTAGGCGAACACTTTGCAGACCAGAGTCGAATCGTGTACCATCTTGGAAAACACGACGAGCCGTGTCAAAGTGGCCATTGTTCTTCTCCGTCAAGGCCAGGTTCAGCCTCGATGGTTTGATGATGTTTCATGGCTGTCAGCCGAACAATACAGACTCCAGTCCGATCCCTGCCAAGATACCACGTGCAAGCAGCAGCAGCGAAAGAAGGCACTTCCTTCCTTGGTAGGTAAGGGCGCCACAGATATACACCCAGCTTTGCCAGCTCCAGTTTTGATCTACACACGGATGATGAGGCAACGGCGTCGGCGGCATGCTTGTGTACAATGTCAGGGCCTACACGCAACCACAAGCCAGTTTGACGAGTCTGCTTGCCCGTGACTGAAGAGGCTGCTCGCTCCGCTAACCATGACGCTCTTTCAGGAGCCCACTGTGCGATAGACAGCTGATGCTGTATCCCACTTCCGCTGCCGTCGAAGCTCTGCTGCACGATAGTGGAGCCTTGCGGAACAAGCCTTTGCAGTGCCTGTCCCGTCACCGGCGCTAGCATGCCAACAAGCAGCCGTGCTAGTCGCTTGAACATGGTGCTTTGTGGCTCGTAGTTTGTCACCTGCAGCATCGCAGCTTCAAGAAATCAACCAGACCACTGTCATCCAGAAATTTTTTGGGGTTTCAAGAACATTCAGGCTAAGATCTGGGCAGCTGCAGCTAACGTCATACATCTGCACGGAAATGCTCTATCAGTTCCGCGTTACAGGGAAAGCTGACACTGCTAACCTGTAGCCCTGCAAAGCAGAGGATGTCACAACTCGCAACCCAACTCTCCACACCAAACTGTCTCGAGACCACTGAGCTGCGTAGCGTGCAGCGTGCTATGGACCAGATTTTGCAATTGAAATTGAAGTTGCTCCCACAGACAAGCACTTAATTCTCTCAGGCTCTCCAGCAGGCCACCCTTGCTGCACCCTTCAGCGCAGCGGTGTAGTAGCCAAGTGCAGCATCTCTCCTTGGGCCTTGGGGTCGCACGCTAACACGCTTGGCGCAACTCTCCACACATTTCTGCGACCAGGCAGCATGTAGCCCAAGTTCTCGAAACCAAGACTGGCGAGTGCTGATGGAAAACAATGAGTGAGGGCAGACGCAACTCAAACAAACAACGTGCGCGGTCTGCATCGTGCCTTTCTTTCGGAATTCTGGAACCCATGTCTGTTGCACAGCACATACGTACCCGAACGCTCCAAGCATCTAGCAATCTAGCAGCCTAGTCAGACAACCAAGCTTGCTGCGCATCACAGGTTGCATCTGCTACTCACTGCGGCAGAGCAGCGGTCCGAGCCAATGCAAAGGAAACAAGCACAAAGTGCTGGAAGAGTCCTTCAAGTATCTATTAATGTACACTGGCAAAGCTGGGCGTACTAAATCCTGGACATTTCGCAGCAGCTGTATGCACAGGACAGACGGCTGACTTGCAAAAGCACTGCCTGGTCTGCTTTCGGAAGATTTGTGCAGCGGCCATGGCTTTGTCGGCTTGCAGGAAAAGCACGCACAGCCACGATGGGTCCTTGTGCCCAATTGCTTCCAGGCTGTTCTGCCCTGAATGCCCTACAAGGAGGAGCAGTTGCCAAATCGACAGTTACGCACATGCCGGCACACAACACAAGAGTTTTATCCCACAGCACCAGTGCCGAAGAAAAACCTCTTGCTATGCAAGGAGGCCATAGCATTCTTCCAAGCCATGTGAAGGTTTGTTTTCGCAAAAATTGAGGGATTGGTGATCGAAGGAGGCACTGGAAGAATCTTGCCACAGGCATGGCTGCTAAACTGCTAAACACTTCGCAGGGACTCCGGCCTTCCCTTGAAGGAAGCGCTGAAGTCAAAATTCTTCCTATCTACAGCATCCTGACAATGTGCGGTTTCTTGCTGACTTTTGCTGTTACCAGAGCGACGCACGAGTACCGTGAGTACCAACACAAAAATCTCTGGTGGCATGGTCATAGCTTGCACACCACCCGGAGTGAAGCCTTGTTGCTTCTAGCCCGGCAGCTGCTAAGCAAAGCCATTGTGAACATGCGCAGGTCTGCGGGCAAGGATTTCCCTATCGTTCAACACCTTCTACAAGTAACATGTCAATGTGAGTTACTGTAGCGGGGCTGCGAGAAACTTACGTGCTGGCATTCGTAATCCCAACTGCGCGCTCGCAAAAGCAACGCTTCTCCTGCAAGCGCTGGGGCCTTCAGTGCAAAACCATCATCGTTTGTGGGGACCTCCTCGCTAGGAGTTTTGCCACAGGGCCCCACTGACCACGAGGGCCAACAATGTAGGGACTCGCACCTGCCAGGGCACATGCCTGCAAACTTCGGACATAGTCCAACACCCGCAGCCTTGAGCTCCCTCACTGCCACGCCTGGGTGGATTGCCAGTTTGGCACTTTGCGTTTTGGGCGTTGTGCCCACCAAGCTCCAAGCAGTTGTAGTACTAAACATGGCTTCTTGAAAAGCTCACGAACAGAATCCTTCGGATGAAGATGCTATGAGACTGGAAGGGGATTGGCCGATTTCGTAGTATTGGCGTAAGTGCAGACGAGCTTCGCATCACGAAACATTTGTCCGGCCTGCCAGGGCCCAGTGTTTGCGCGATTATGAATGGTTTAGAAGTCTTTAGCAGCCCTCAAAATCCGATTCTTTGAGCTCAGAAATCCGATTCTCCTTCTCGGAGCAAGCAGACCGCGAGGTTGACATTGACCGATTTGACCGATGCGCAGGCGATGTCGACCCTGCCTGCCCTGCCTGCACCATCGAAATACTGCAGGGTGCCAGCTCAAGGCAAATAACCAGCAGCTTGGGAGGATTGATGCTTACAAGGAATGTGGACCTGCTCAAGTCGATGCCCGGACGTCATCGAGATATTGGGCAGGGAAGACGTGTGGCTCACATGGCCCTGTCGATGTCGATGCCTCAGACAGCACCCTGTGTAAAAAACAATGCAAGGCATCCAATGTCTGAACTTGCTGTGCCAAAATCTTGGACAAGAGCAACATGCAAAAGGCGGCAGCAAACCTTTTAAGCGCGCTGGTCATATCATCGCTGATCTGCTCTCCAGGCCGCAACCACACATCAAAAGTGCAGCTGGTCAACTCCTAGCCGCGGGGACCTAGTTGAATTCAATTCACTAGGGCCTCACCTCAACCACGCGCATCTCTGGGTGGTGCCTTGCCTGCCGGAGGCGGCTTGTGCTGCACTGAGACGGGTGGGACAGGCTTTACAGCGGCTGGCGGAGTCCTCCAGCCAAGGGGAGGTGCTTTCTCAGGAGCTTGAGCTGCTTGAGGTGGGGGCGCTTTCATCTGCGGCCATTTCCCCAAGGATGCTCCAGAAGCCAAGTCCGCGCCGGACTTGCTCCTGTCTTCTCTGAACTTTGCATAAGTCATTTCGACACGTTCTGGGAGAGGTAACGTAGTGAAGGTAGCTTCCCTAAGTCTCTGCTCATCATTGAGCACGACCACATTCGGACAGGAGATTTGTTCCCAGTTGTTCTGGGTCTTGTACTCGGCGTAGGATGGTGCATTCACCAGCGGTGTGGATGGGTTTTCAGCTGCTTTGCAGGCTTCCTGTGCGCGTCGACGACTCTCTTCGTCGACCACCGCCCTTTGTGCTGCAGGCTCCTCCTGAACATAGCCTGTTTCATGCTCCTGCCAAGAGACGAGTGTCTTGAGTAGGTCATGGATTGGAAAGCTCATCTTCATGGAGAAGGCCATTGACATCTTTGGGACGCCAACTCCATCGACGTCCTCCACGTGGAGCTTGAACCCGTCCATGACATCGCACATCACTTGTACTGGCACTTGACCGATGGCCATCAGTCGAAGAGCAAGCACCTACCCCTTGAGCGAATTCTGTGTGGTGCGGGCTGCAAGGAGAGAGGATCTAAGTGCCCTGCATCCCACAACTGGAGCCAAAAACACGAAATTGCCAGCATGCACAAGCAAGCCAGAGCCGCCGCACCCTGAGCAGATCTGCAACACTTGTAAGTAGTTCGCCTCATGGTGCCCTAACCCTTGAGCATCGAGGCGCCTGGCATGCCGCGGCCGATGGTCTCGTGGAACTTGAGCAGCTGCGATGACTCTGTCGATGACTGGGTTGGCCCTGGACGGCAGGAGTGTCTGACAGGTCGAGCACAGCCACCAAATCTGAGCTGAATGCGCAAAGCCATTCTCCACCAGCTTGGGCAGGTAGTAGCGCTCTAGGGCTACCTCAGCACGGCGCATTTCTTAAAAATTCTGCCATGAGAAGCGCAGCAGCTTTTTCGAAGGCCAGGTGGCTCCGCGAATCCTTGGCTCCAGGGTCTCGATCCTTGGCAGAAGCGCTCCGCCCCAGGTGATGTGGTCCTCTGGTAGGATTGGCATGGCGCCGCCGAGTGGAGCCGTGCTACGCAGAGCCTACAGCTTTGTACAGCTGTGCGCAGCTTGCCTCGACTCCAAATAGCATGTCTTTTGTGAACTACAGTAAGAGCCGCAAGCTGACGAGCAGTGCCTTAGTGAGCCGCGAAGCATTTCTACGCACTGGTTATCCTTAGTCCTTAGTGGCTGGCCGATAGTCCCATGCATGGAATCACAAAAAGTGAGCAGGCTGTTCACTAGATTCGTCCACACAGCTCTTTCAACGGCAGGCCTTTGTGTTTGAGCCCACGCTTGTACAGTAGGAGGGCCTGTCCAGAACATCACAAGCGAACAAGCTTGGCAATGAAGTCATGGCAGAGGCACTCGCTGCTTTCGTCTGTCGCAGTGATCCTGCTCTCATCCACATCTCAAGCGTCAAGACGTAGGCGCGTCACGCATTCGTGGGAGCCGCCAGTGCAGCGTCGACCAGCCATCACCCCCCAACCTCACAGGAGAAAGGATAGCAAAGCGAAACCTCACAACCGCAAGCGGCATCCAAGGAGTCAAGCATGCATCCCCAAGCATCTTGTTTTCGCTTCAGCGGGTCGGATGAGTCTCGGTGCGTCAAGCTCTCTCAGCTTATCTCGATGAGGGCATTTTGGCGAAAGTCACTTCCAAGGGAAATGGCACGTTGAGCTTGTAGCCCAGGGCTTCATCCCCTAGCTTCTTCATGATGGCTTCGAAATCCTCTCTTCAAGCTGCAAATGACCTCTAGTGTGCTGGTTTATGTCATTGTCTCGGGCAATAACTGATAATAACAGTAATGACGGGTGGGCAAATGGCTCCTCATTGAGCACCTCCTCGCCAGCAATGCTCTTCACCTGAGAGCAGCTGCTGGGTGTCGACAATAACATGCCTGCACTGGCCAACTGGCCCAGCACAGATCCAGTAAGTTTAGCTTAAGCTTAGTCTCCACCCGCTAGCTGATGGTAGCCTGGAGGTTTCAAGTAGCGCGACATGCGATGGCACTTGCCCGCTTGCAAGCTCTTTCGCTGAATCCCTTCTGAATGAACTGTCAGCAGCTTCATGTTGAACCCTTTACATTTTCTGGTTACTTAGAGGGCGTGGCGGTTTCATGAGCTCTGCCAGAGGTGTGGGCACATCCCACCACTTCCCCATGAAAGCTCTTGAATGAATGATGATAACCTACCATGCATAGAGGAGTTGACAATAATACTCCCGCCGGGCTAGAAAAACTCCGGAATACTGATTTTGATTTGTAATAACAAGTTTGGAGTCCGAAAACCTACAAGCAAGTTCCATCGGCAATAAACAGCCGGTGACAATCAATCATATTGGTCATCCCGATTTGAATAGATTTCCTTCTACTTGTGCCACGAGTACTGCGAAGTACACTACCTGGTCCTACCAACCCACAGGTTTATTATTCGACCGGCCCTCCGTAGACCAAACACGCAACTCAAGATCCCGCGGGTGTACTTCTTGCCAGGCTAACAGTACCCGTCAACCAACTGAAGCCTCAATTACTTTTCAAACTTGGCAGTCTCTGCCTAGCTTTGCTGATGCCGTCTGCCCCATGTCTGGTGTGCTGCCGCCAAGTAGCAACCATGCCTGACTTGACGCCCATGGCTTTGGCTTGTCCGAGAGGGTCTCCGACGAAAACGCCATGCGCAACGTCCTTCACCTTCACACATCGCTTGGATGGCGGGGGTTCTGTATACAGCGCACTTGCTGCCTTCAGCTTTAAGAAACTGCCAAGACTGACAATAACTACACGTGGTATTGCTGAGGTATGCACCATAGCGCCCTTGAAGTCCTGCCAGGCGGAGAAAGAACTACATGAGGTAAGAGGCTTCCGCAAACCTGAAGCTTACACAGCACTTGGCTGCCGATCAGCTTCCAGCAGGGGACCTGTAGCATACTACAGCCGCCTGCGCGGGGAGAACCACGGAATAGCGCAACAGACACATCATTACAAGAAATTCCCAGAACATGCTTGTGAAATTCCATGGAGCAACACGATCTTCAACGGCAATGCCTCCTCCTCCCACTCCCATTCCCCACTCCCTACTCCTACTCCCACTACTACTACTACTACTACTACTACTACCGCCACCACCACTACTACTACTGCTACTGCTACTGCTACTACTACTTCTTCTTCTTCTATGCGCGATTGCTTCGGTGCAACCTAGCGAGCCTCATAAATGACTTAGTCATGAGGCGAAGTGAGCCGCCACTAATGGCAAGCACCCACAATGCAGCCCGGGGCCTAGGCCCCTGCAGCTGCATGGAAAAGCATTCACAAACTAATTGGCAGAACATGGGATTTTAAAATACAGCAACTCCCTCATGACACAGCCTGGCTAAGCAGATCCCTGTACAAACCTCCACAAGAAAGAAGCTATACATCGGCATTCTGTGGATTAGATCGGCTCATCCTCTCCGGAAGAAATGACCTGGCGCACTGAGCTGTTGCGAAAGCGTCTCTGGAGTCATCGCAGGACCAGTTGGCAAACGCAGCTTTTTTGTTCTCAGCGGGCAGCCACGTTACTACTACTACTACTACTACTACTAATACTACTAATACTAATACTACTACTACTACTACTACTCCTACTGCTGCTACTGCCATACTACTACTACTACTACTACTACTACTACTCGCCGTCGCATCGAACACGCTAAGACCACCCCAACAATTGGCAACACCATTTTGGAGAACTAACCTGCATTGCATAACCACGTGTTGGAAAACAGGAAGAGCATGCGGCCGGAGAGCGACGTGTGGCCCAAGGTAGGCGCGCAGGGTGTACTGTCCAACTGAATTGGATGGGACTGCACACCTTCGTAGCTGTTGTTCTCCGCAAAGCTTCAGCCGTTGTATTGTTCACAGCATATCTTGTAGGTGGCTTCCCAAAAACCCTGCGGATAGGCCCCCAGCCCTCACACCACGGGGAGCAATCATGCAATTATTGCTCCGGTCGAAAAAACTCACTTTTACGACTCCTCGTCCCGGACTTGACTTGGGACCGGGTCGGCTCATCATTTGTGGCCCTTGGTTGCATACACAACGCACATCAATCTGTGACTGCCATATAACCATGGTATCTGAGCTCCATCGGCACGACCCCTTGTTCAAGGAACAACCCTGGCCCCCGTTGCTCATCACTTGCAGGGCAATCTGCAATGTATAACATGTGCTCATTCTCGACGTCGGACTTACATCAGAGCTCCAGGGGACTTGGTGCAGGTGTCTCAACAAGAGACCTGTAAGTGCAGTCAAGCTAAGCTTTCCCTTCACGCGGGCTGGGACCATGGCATAGGTAGCGATCAACAGGCCTTGTAGTGCTACAGAAGCCCACTGTGGACTCACTCGAGCCGTGGTGCTTACTACTACTACTACGACGACGACTACTACTACTACAACAACAACAACTACTACTACTACTACTACAACTACTACTACTACTACTACGACTACTACTACTACTACTTCTTCTTCTTCTACTACTGCTACGGCTACGGCTACGGCTACCACTACTGCTGCGAGTAGTAGACGCCCCCAGCGGGGAAAAACACACCCCTAGCGCGGTACGGACGTCATTCGTTTGCTGAAAGTGTTGGCAGGCGCAGTGAGTTTGAGCTTCGCAAAATCTTGTGCCTTCACGTTTTTGGGCCAAATTCTCCGCCCCCAAAACGACAGGGACACAAGATTTTCAGGTGGTGCAATTTACTAGGGCAGCAACCGCAAGAGTTGTCCAGAGGCAAGCGACTTGTCGGCTTGCACGGTCCAATGGCGCCAATGGGCCTCATGTATGTGACTGCTGAGAGCATGTCCAAGTCTCAGCATTCACCCCGTGGCATCCTTTTTGGCATGCCCCCGCCAGGCGTCAAACCAGCCCAGGTTCCTGATCCTGGGACAGCCCCAGGCTTTGGGAACCTTTTTTGTTGTGCCCGACTTTGTTACGCACAAGCCCTGGCAAATCAACAGCAGCAGCCTGGGCCCAATAAGAACCAAGTCATTCATACCATTCAGGTATTGCCCTATGTTATTCGCTTGAGGGGTATGTTTTTTCCCACCGGGGACCTCCCACGACTACTACCCCTGCCCCTCCTCCCACTCCTACTCCTCCTACTCCTGCTACTACTTCCTACTAGCACCACCACCACTACGACGACGACGCCGCCGCGATGACGACGACGCAACGACGACGCAACGACGATGACGATGACGACGACGACGACGAGGAGGAGGAGGACGACGACGAGGAGGACGAGTACAAGTATTACTAATAACAAGAAAAATTACCAATAATTATGATAAGGTAGTATAATAATAGTGGCAATACTAACGAGCATCGTCGTAGCAGCAGCAGCAGCAGCAGCAGCAGCAGCAGTAGTAGTAGTAGTAGTAGTAGTGGTGGTAGTAGTAATAGTAGTAGTAGTAGTAGCAGTAGAAGAAGCAGTAGCAGTAGCAGTAGCAGTAGCATAAGCAGTAGCAGTAGCAGTAGCAGCAGCGCTAATAGTACGAGTTATTGTGCTGGTAGCAATACTAATACTAGTAGTAGTACATATAGTAATACTAGTAATGCTAGTAGTACTACTGGAAGTCATACTAGTAATTACCGGTGCTAGTACCAGTACGAGTGGCGGCGGTGGTAATATTATTATTAGCAGTAGGAGTAGTAGTAGTAGTCGTCGTCGTCGTAGGAGTCGTAGTAGTAGTAGTGGTAGTAGTAGTAGTGGTAGTAGTAGTAGTAGTAGTGGTAGTAGTAGTGGTAGTAGTAGTAGTAGTAGGAGTAGGAGGCTCCGGTTGCGTTCGTGACGGTACATTTTTGTGGCATTGCAAGCCCAGAAATTCGGTAAAAACCAGCACTCGTGGGTTTTGGATGGCGTCAGTTGACTTCCATTGTTTCTGTGCTTTTCTTGTTTAACATGTTTTCAGCATGAGGAATGTGAAATGTCTGCATCGTTGATATCGGCTCCAGTCAGAGTCAAGGATAAAAAAAACCCTTGGATAAGAATAAAATCAGAACTCCAACCATTGGACTCATGGGGCGTGCCTTGGAAAAATAAGGTGATGATAATCAGAACTCCTCACACCCTTGGACTAATGGGGTGTACCCTGGACTAATGGGGCGATGATAAAATTAAATCAGAACTTTTCAGACCCTTGGACTACTGGGGCGATCCTTGGACAAATGTGTCATGAACAAAGAGAAAAAGCCACCGGGAAGCCTACTTAAAAAAAAGAAAAAAGAAATGTTTTTCAGTAAAAAGGTCCAAAATATGCATGAACCACTATAACACGCACAAACAACTCAGACCAACAATAATAAGCAAATAAATCGAAAAGAAATAATGGAGGCGGACTTTATTCAAACATCGCGCGAAACCTCAGTTTCAGTAGGGTGAACTGGGGAAAACCACACAGTCATAAACGCGACCGTTACCTACTAGTAGTAATAGTAGTAGTAGTAGTAGTACTACTACTACTACTACTACTAGCAGCAGCAGCAGCTGTAGCAGTAGCAGTAGCAGAAACTACACATATGACGTGCGAAAGGTTTGCTAGGCTTGAGTTGCACTGTGTCCTTTCCGGGCTGCCATCGAACGATTCCGTATGGTCTCTTCTCAAATGTCACCTCGGCTGAATTGCGTAGAGCGTCTTCCGCAAAACTGCTCAAGCGCACCTGCACTACTACCATGATTGCAATACTTGGAAAGCCGAGCTAGACACGCTGATGGTGTCCGATGTCGCCTGCCTGACGTCGAATGGTGTGTCGTCTTCTTCAGGACCCAGGAACGTCAGAAACCTGAGCTGGATGAACACTGCCTCTTAAAATGTTCCCTCTCTCCTCAGCCATGTCCATCCCTCCGAGCCACAATACTACGCCCGACCGTGCATTCCTGTTTCGTTGATTTTCGTTCACGGACGTGCCGGTGCTTTCGTAGAGTCAGATGTTATGGCATGTGGTACTGTAGAATGGCCTTCTGCTCTTAAGGAGAGCAGGCCGGGAACCCCCAAGCCTGGGAACCAGGAGAAGTGCTGGGGAGCGACCAGGGATAAGACATGCGCACGCGCTTGGTAGACAACGGCTGTCTCATGAAGCAACCCGCCATTTCTTTCCCCTCAACTTGCCTTGAGACCTTCATCCACCAACGTTGCCCAGCAAATGCTAATGTACTGTCTGCGCCCGGCAAAACAATGCTAAGTTGCAGACGTGCTGATCGCGTAATTACAGAAGGTCAGCTTGCCAAGGCGCATCTCGGGCATCTCCTTGCCCTCGATCTCTACCGTGTTGACGAGCTGCTTCTGCCACTTGCCGCGTCGTGCTTTGCCCGCTTGTCGGGAAATCTGGCCGTGCGCGGCTCAGGTTCAACCATGCAATTGCACTCTCCGCGCCAGAATCGTGAAGTGTCTGAACGCAGCATAAACACGACAATCTGCCAAGCTGGAGCCTTGTCTCCCATCGCGATGGCGCTCTCATCTCGTGGGCTGCGATTAGGCTGGAGCCCGGTGAAGGTCTGCGAGGATTGGCCCAAAAGGCAACAGTAGGCGGCCAAGCCGCCTCAGTGGATGTTGTGGTCAAATCAAGGTCACACTTTGAGTTTGAGTCAAGCTAAGTTCTGATATCAGGAGAGGCACTCAAGGCAACCAGAATGGCTGCAGGGCTTCGACGAACCATTGCGCCGAGTCTGGGCTGTGGCAAACAGCAAGCACGTGAGGCTGAGCCCAAGCTGCACATTGAATGCATTCTCTCCCTATTTCCCAACATTTCCCAACAAATCTGCCTTAACTGCTGGCCGCTCGCATCACTGCAACGCGGCTTGGCATGACCACATCAAGCAGAACATCTAGCTCAATCCATCCAAATCTGCTGACCTCCATGTGTTAAAGTATTATCACTTGCACCTGGAGCTTAGGTAGCTGAAGGTCTTTTACTCTTGGGTTCATGGAGTCCAGACAGGTTGTTATCTTTGAGGGTCTTGTCAACCCATGCCGGACAGTTATTTAGGTCGTGTTTTCGCCATCGAGCTTCGTCTTCGTTACAGCGAACATCCCTGCCGTCTCAAGGCAAGCAACTGAATTTCGGCAGCCAGGCAAAGAAAGGCCTGCGATATGTTGCTGAAGCCATGCCTCTGCATGCCGAGCGACTAAATACCATGAGGCCTGCATATCCTGGAAAGATGCCATCAAGACAGTTAAGGCAAAAACAGTGTGAGCAACCTCCACTCCGGCGGCATAAGGCTTCCAACTCGATACCAGGATCTCAAAATGCTTCCAGCTGAGCCCCGCCGAAGCCAAGACAGCCTGCTGAAGAATAAAGTAGCCCTGAAAGGTCTGAGCCTGCAGGAACGCACGGCAACCTGCCAGCGAATCTGCAGCGGCAGGATCCCACATGGCGCTATGCGAGGCGTGACCTGAATCGGCTTTTGCCAGCACAGGCCTCACCACCGTGGGCCAGCCTTCTCGAACAGCCTTTTGCCGACTCGCCAGGGCTTCTGGGATTGCCGCGATCTGCGCTGACTCAGGACTCTCCGCGATCAATTTGTCAGAGGCTTCTGGAGAAATATCCGGCAGCCTGGAGGTCATCAGCTTTTGGCCGAGGTCTTTGCTTGCATCTGCACTCTGGATGCTCAGATCACACGATCCCGAGACTCGCAGGCTGATCTGTAGTTCGGAGGCCTTCTCGCCAGCACTCACAGGGACCTCGCCCAGGAGAATACCCTGGCTGGCAGTTGTCAGCGGCACCGCAGTCAAATAGACTCGCGCAGACTTGCGGCTAGCATTGCGCCCAGGTCTCCAGTGGATTGACGCCTTCTCAAATGCATCAGTGCACACACCGGCAAAGGAAAACCGACAGACTCCCTGCAAGATGCCACCAGCTACCTCCAAGCTAATCCACCCAGGCGTGCCAGATACTTCTGCAATGCCAATGCCCTGAGTCCCTTTCGGGGCTTCACTTGCAAAGGCGTCAGCACGATCGGGTTGAGCTAACGGACTTGCGATCCCACCAAGGCCTTGCAGCCTTTCTGAAAGGCTGTCATAGCTCTTGCCACGGCTCTTTTCCATGCTGCGGAGGGAGAGCTGGGACGCCAAAGCCAAAACACCCCCTTTTGCAGAAAGCTTGGACCATGAAGCTGCAAGCTTTGGGGAGTCCCCATGCTTGGACACGGGAATTTGGCTTCGCAGTGACAAAGAGGCGTGGCCGGGTTGGCCGGGTTGGCCACCCTGGCTCTTTCGCCGAGAATCCGAAGCGCCTGCGAGCATGGAGTCAAACAAGGAGAGACTCTCCAAGCGAGAATCGCGCCCGTATGGACTCTTCGTACTTCGCTGTGTGCCGTGCAAGGACAGCCTTTGCCCAAGTTTAGCAAAGTCCAAAGTTGACAGGCGTGAGTTGAATGCTTTTGTCTTTTTGGCACGGCTGGAAGGCGTGTCGCGAGTTGAAAGCTCTGATGTCGGTAAGCTGCTTGCCGAAGGCTTCCTGTCTGGCAATTTAGGTCTTTCCCGAAAGCCGCCGGCAAAGAAGTCCTCGTCCATCAATGGCCATGCCTCTTCACGCAATGGATCCTCAGGCCAGGCATCACCAGCACCGGGAGCAACCCGCATCCCAGGCATGCCCGCCAAATTCAATGAACTGCCGGAATAGATCGACAATGCAGAGCCCGCTTTTGCAAAGCCACGGACTGACAATGTGGAGGAACGTGGCCGGAACCAGTCATCCGTTCGCTCTAATGCTCTCGCAGGGGACTCGCGGCGAGCCTCTGTCGGCTTGCCACGCTGATTGACGGCTTCATCCCGTAAGGATATGCTAGAACCAATCTTTTCAAAATTCAGGACAGACAGCTTTTCCGCAATTCGTGGTGTAGAAGTAGTTGCATGAGCCCTTGTGGAGAGCAAGGGGCTTGCTGCATCTGACCTTGCTCCATCTGGCTCCTTAGCTGAAGTCGTCTCTGTGGCTGGGGACTCACGCGAAGGCAGTAAGCCGTCGCAAAGTATCGCGTGCTTGGCCTCAGGCAAAGGCAGGACCCACTGCGTTGCACTTGTTGCTACCTGGTGAAGATGTGCAGCTTGCTCTGCAGCCTCTGAGAGACCCCCATGATTCTCCTGCGCATACAGCGCCATGGCCGCTGTGTGGAGACCTGTTGATCTTACTCCGCAAGGACCCAGAAGCTTCGCTTGCCGCTGCACTCCTCCCAAGGTGGCACGGACATCCAGCTTGAGCTGGCTGCGGTTTTGGGTACACTCGCTCTCAGATGGGCTGAAAAGCACGACAGCTAGGAGTCGGCTGCCGAGATTCATCTCAGCAGGATCCTGTATTACCTGCCAGGCATTCGCAAGCTCACGTTCTGGAATGAAATTGCCCCAATCGAGCTGCACGTCTCGGATTGTTGGTACCAAGGCATCCAGCAGGTGAGATACCAGAACCTTCTCCAAGCCAAGTTTCACGTCACGATCTGCGACGTATGAGAAAGCTCCTCGACCGGCCTCGGTCTAGCATTTTCCGCTACAAAGTGGAAAAGCCAACTGTCCTGCGAGCATGTACTAAGCATGCATACCGTACGCTTTTGGAATGTTAGTTGCTAGCTGCTAGCTGCTTTGACTGTGACTATTTGTGTACTTCAGGCTGTTTTGCTCGAGGCTCCTTTGCGGCGTCTTCAACAAACATTGGGGAAGCACTCCAGCCCAGGCCAACAGAGAAGAGCCGGCAGTCCATAGAGCAGCTCGCTTCCACGAGCTGGATCGCATTTTTGGGGTCAGGAGGGTGCCTATCTGTTATCAGGATGATGCGCAGCTGTACAGACTCTGGGCGAGAGCTCTCCAATGCCACTGACAGGAGGGCTTCTGCAACCTGGGTTGGCCCGGAACTGTGGGAAAGGTGGGAACTTGCAGGCTCGCGTGTAAGGTGCTGATCAACCTCTTGGAAAATCTTTTCATCCAGCTCCTGGCTCTCTGAGAAGATAGGCTCCAAGGGATTGCTGGGATCGTGCCCTAAAACGTTGAGCCGGGTGCCGTGTGGCAGGCTCCGAAGCAATGCTCGAAGGGCCTGCTGAACTCGTGCCAGGCGCGCCCCCCGCATGGTTGCAGATGCATCCACTACCACGAAGACCTCTAAGTCACGAGATCGAGCAACTTCCAAACTTGGAGGCAGCCACACGGCTCCAGCAACCTGGCCTGTAGGGTGTTCCGCTACTGTCAGGAATGGAGTAAGCTCGTAGGGGTGTGCACGGGCTTGGCCTCGACTTGGCAGGGCAATCTCCAAATCCACATCTTGCAGCAAAGAAGATTTCAATATGCGCGGGCAGTCCGAGCAGCTTTGCTCCAATGTTACACCAGCCGTAGCAGCGGAAACTTCCACTTCCAAGCCCAACTCTTCCAGCATAAGCTCGATGGAAACCGGGTGCCCTGGCTGGCCAAGCTGCCGCGCGTCTCGTGCATCAGGCGTTTTGCTAAGTCCAGGTGGCAGAGAAAGTTGCAAGCCAAAAACGTGGCCAAAGCCGGGCCGCTGCTTGGCATGTAGCTGCATCACGTAATCAAGAATCAACACGACTTTTGCACCAGGCTCCAGTACTGCCATGATGGACTTTAAGGGCACACGGTAGCGAGGGCCTTGAAGACTTGCGTGGTAGAAACTGAGGGTCTCCCTGGCCGAGCACTTCGCTGGGACCGCTGCATCCGACTTGAGCACGAGTTCGCTGGCTAGGTGGTGCCCCTCCGCTGCAATCACTGCAAAGCCTTGAAAAATAGCTTCCTTTGGCAATGGCAAGGTGAGCTCTGGAGCATCAAGCGGATCCTTCAAGGTGTTCACAAAAGTGTAATTTGACTGGATGCGAACAAAAACTGCCTGTGCATTCACCGTAGATTGGACAGAGACCAGGGTGGCGTGACAAATGCCCTTCTCCGTGGCTCGTAGATGTGTACTGTAGGCACTGTAAGCGCTGTAAGGAAAGTCGAGATTGCTGCAGCCTCCAGACAGCGTCGTCTCAACCCTCAAGCTCAGGCACAGCAGTGCAAGCAGCCGATTGATGAGCTTCTGAAGGGAAGCCATGGCAAGGCCAAATGGATGACTTCATGGGAGTGACTGCATGCGTCATGGTGCCGCAGTTTTCCCTCATCGCTGCATTCAGGACGTATTTGTACACTGTCTCTGTCTGGACCACGTTTGAGCAAGCATCAGAGGGAGACTGCTCCGCGTATGATTCTCCTCGCATATGTTTCTTTCTCCTCCAGGTTCCATGCGACATAAAGCCTCAAAGCTGCAGGCAGGACTTTAGCTAACTTTCTGCAGCAGAGTCTGCAAAAGCTCTCGCTGACCGAAAGAATCTGAGAGGCATGTTTGCTGCACATGCCTGAAAATCCGTGCACGGAAGGCCTACCAGCCGGAGGCATGAGGACCTCAGAACGACCAAGTCAAATGAGAGCGTCGGTCAGTCAGCTTTAACCTATCAACGCGAACGCAAGCATCGTAAATGCGAAACTGCGATTAGGCGTACTTGGAGTTCTCAACTCAGGAAGTCTTGAATTGCAAGCAACTGGAAACTAGGCGGCACTTTTTTACGGAACGCTGCTGCTGCAACAAGTCTTCACAACAGTGCGCACGTGCAGTGGCACTTCTACATTCCGCTATGTGATGTAGCCATTTGAAATCTTCTGAAAGCATGATTTTCTCCTTGTGGCAGTGGAATACAATCAGACTGGCTACAACTAAAGGTTGTCAGCGGGTAGCTTGTCATGAAGCTGCTGCAAAAGCAAAGCGGGCCTGATGTTACCAGTCCCTGACTCAGGCTTCACCAAGGCAACGTGCATGAGTAACACAAGACGACGCCCAAATTTGATGAACTCTGTATGGCTTGTACAGAAGCGCCCAAAAATACGCCGATGCCTTAAAGCCCTGGGTCCACGGTACTTCCTCTTCAATCAAGAGACAGCAACGGTCCGAAGATGAGAGGGCATGTCTTGTCAAAGTGAAAACCGGATGCTACACTTACAGTTGTCATGGCTAGCATACTAGCCTGCTGTTATGTTTCGGACGGGACCACTGCCAAAACTGCGCGGCACTCTGCTGCCTCACGCGACAAACCAGAGGCCCTTTGCCAGGGCATGGCCATACCTTTGCCGTGGCCTCTACTCTTCGCCGCCTGTGGGCGTGACTAGCTTCTTGATGGAGTAAGGTGCAAACTTCAAGCCTTCTGCTTTGTAAAACTTGCTCTGGAACTCAACCCAATGCAGCCGCAGGGTGTGCAAAAAGCACTCCAACACATCCATCCCGAGCAGGACGGCCAGCGTGATAGCAAACCAGGCAGCGAACATGAGGTAGATCCCGATCCCATTCATTGGGAACGACATCTCAAGGCCTGAAATGTTGGGCTCAGGCTTTTACATTCTGCCCCAGTCAGTCCTGCCATGCAGGCCAGGCGCCCATGGTCAAGGTCTTCTGGAAGAACACCAGGGAGAGCTGCTGGTGTGCCAAGGACAGCGCCCAAATGCCTTAGCTTTCAAGCACCGGCAGCCCTCGATTTTGGTCAGCCAGCGCGGCTGCGTGCCTGTTGATGCCTTTTGTCAAACGCAGCTGTTGAAGCAAGCTGCGGAGGTATGAGGCCGTGTGGGATACCGTACCTAGCACGAACTCGATAGTCTCGATGATTTGGTGGATGAAAATCTCACCTTGGTCGGGACATACCTGTTGTGTACTCCACAGCTGGGTACTTGATGCTCTTCAGAGAGCGTTGCAATGCAGCGACTCCGACAGTGCATTGAGCTATACCTTAGACTCTAAAGACTGCAAGCCAAGACGCCAAATTCAAATTCCTCGCCATGCCTGGGTAGCTACGGGGCGTTGGTGTTCGTGAGCTTCGTGAGCTGTGTTGCGTTGCTATTCTTGAATAGCATGGGCATGAATTCAAAGTGCGCTGAACAGCCGTTGGCGTCATTTCAGGGTTCATCGGTCTCCTGTATGTCAAATCGGATTGACTTCTGCAGCCCGACGCCTGTACCAATACTTCACTGTGCAAGCGAACGCCCTCGATCCTATGCATCATGGGCGTTCCCATACAGGAAAAAAATGAGGAACCCGTTCCAGCACAATATTCGTTAAATGGCAATGCCCGCAACGTGGAAGATGGCAAATAGAGAGCTTTAGCACAAGTGAAAGTACCACCCAGATGGGTTGTCAGACTGTGCTTTGTTCTATCTTGCAGTGGTACAAACCAGAGTTGCCGAATCTTTGGAGGCAAGGCATTGCGTGCCACGGGCCTAGTGTACAGTGGAGCATCGTTGCCGAATGGGCGAATCAGGTAATCCTACTAGGTAGCAGCTACAAATACATACGCTGCCATCTCCAAAGTTAAATTTCTTGCAGCCGGCGCCCTCTCATCGTGAGAGTAGTCAGCTACTGATGTGTCAGTACAAGATCGACGGTGGCAGATGGCTTCACGGCTCCAGCGACCAAGGGGAGTGCGTTTGAGTCGGAAATCTTCCTTACACTGTGGCTGGGGCGTTTCTTACAAAGTAAAGGATGAGGTCTACCTAGGAAAGCAGAAAGACTTGGCAAAGTGCTTTGCAAGTGACCCAGCTTCAGGCTGACGCTTCTGCCGACGTGTCTGGTAGCGACGGTGGTGACCTGGGCGGTCCTTCATTTTCTTCCACATGACTCGCTGCTCGCGGCGATCCTCTGTATCGGATGCGGAGTCCTTCGAAAGCGAGTCCGGGACGTCATTGGCCCACTCTGGCATGTCCATCTCATCAGTATCGTCCTGGTGGAGGCCTGGCTTCCGGAACGGGGCCATGTGCTCGTTGGAGTACAAGTCAGGGATGTTAGAGAGCTCCGCAAGCACTTTGCCCAGTATCCTGGAGGACGCCTTGGTGCAAACCTTGGAAGCGTTCCAGTAGCCACCGGAGTCACGTGATGGCGCCATCGCTGGCCACGGCTCCTTCGCAGCCTTGCCAGGACCCGATGCCATGTGAGGTGAATCTGCCATTGCCAAGGACACGAAAACGGATCAAGATGGATCAAGCTTGAGCCTCTAGCATGCAGTCCGTCACTACTCCAGCATTGGGGCCAGGGAAGCAAAAGAGAGTACCCTCCGCTTCTGCTGACTGGTGGCCCATGATTATTCGAGCTTGGCCCTGTCTCCTCATCGATGTTCACCAGGTTTTCGCTGTTCTCCTCTGGCAATGCTTTCTGGGCAGCACTGCTACAAGAAGCGAGAAAGACGCCTGCTTGGACTTGTGCTGGTACAGCAGAATAAACGGCTTCGGCAGAAGCATGATGGGTACCTCACAGCGCGCATGCGAGACCGTTGGACTTTCGAAGTTCGGTGACATCAAGGTTGCATTCCGTCTCAGTCCAAGGCGGACAGCATGGTAAACCTGACTTGTGGCAAACAGCTTACAAAGATTTCAGGTCTCACCTCAGGGCACCCCTGCCCCAAGGCAAAAGGCAAAGCTTGACACATCAAAGCATCTTGAAGGTTCTCAAGGTCCAAGGTCGATGCCCCATCAGTCTCTGTGCCAACTCGACAGAGCCCGGCCAAAGGGGGAACTTGTCCTCCTGGCCCATCGCCATGCCTCTCGCATTCTGCGGCCCAGCTCACAACTTTCCGACACCGAGCTATGACGAGCTGCAAATCAAGGAATTGATGATGCTCGGGGGATTGTCGACGGGATGCACCCACCTCAGCAGCATTGCTTGTCGGTTCATGGCTGAAGTAGTCGCGTACATGAAAAAAGTTTATGTAGTCCGAAGCAGGAATTCGCAAGAGTCAGGTGCCAGAAAAAAGGCAGCGGCCCCACTTCCCGGGCTTTAGAGGGAATGTCATTCAGCATTCCATTGCTGGAGCATTTTTTACACATCGCTTCCACGTGTTCTCCTCCTGGCTAGCCCTTTGATTCTTTTCTGGCCTTGTTCTGCATGGCAAATGATGGTGGAACCCTGCCAGGAAAGGCGCTTGTACAGGATCATGAAGTCCATCCAGCCAAAGAAGCATAGCCTGAGCCACTTCACGATGTTAGGAGCTTTGAATTAATTAAAGTCGTTTAAATAGCTGGCAAGCTTTGGGAACCTCCAAACGTGCTCACACGGGACTTAGCAACTACTTATAGCTGGGCTCAGAACCCTAATAAACAATTCCCCTGAACGGCTTTTTGTAGAAGTATCCTTGCAAGTAGGGTTATCAGGTATAAGTGGTTACTAGGTTATGTCCCGTGAGTCTCCAAGTATGGGGTCTTGCGAACCCTAAACCACTAAACCCCTAAACCCAAACCCCTAAACCCCAAACCCTTAAACCCTAAACCCAAGCGGCATGAAGATCATCATCGGGATGCATTCGCACACGAAGTCGGTCATGTTCTTCTCATAGAAGGCATTGCTCCACCTTCGCTTGCGGAAGCTGCACATGAAGGATGCGCGTGCTGCTCATCTACTTAGAAGCCATAGCCACTGCAGCAAGCAAACGTTGCTTCCTGCTGCGTATAGACTGTTCGGTTCGCGCTCAACTGTTTGTAAACCTATCTGCCCACGGAAGGGCCTCAGAATGAGGCCCACAGTCATTTGCAAGACTCCGAAAAGAACGGACAGCTTCATCTTGAGGGAGTTCACATACAGCAGCTCGTTGCTCGCTCCTTGGCTCTCGAGCCAGGGCCGTCGCTGCACGATTGCGAACTCCAAAGGGCTTCTGTGCGAGCACGGCACCATGCCAGGCCCAGTCAAGGCCAAATGGATATGGGCCCGTGCCACCCTCGTTTTTCACCTCAAGAAGCCAAGGCGTTGTGCAGTGGGTAGATGCGCAATGCACCGCAAGAGTTCGTTGCATGCAGACAGAGCTACATCGAAGGTTGGAATCCAGTTGCCATCACCCGCGTCCTGGCATTGGAGCATTCTCAGTCTATTCAGGATCATCACTCTGCAGGAAGCAAAATGTAGTATATTGCAAGATGCCAAGCCCAAAGCTTCAGCATAGGGCCTTGTACCTGGAATTGAAGATTTGAAGGCCAACGGAAAAGAAGTCGTTGTACATAAAGCCACAATAAATGGCAAAGAAGCCTTGCAAATCTGCAAGGCCAAAACAGCTGCTTGAAACCGCATACCTGCTTACTGGATCCCTTGCTTTCAAGTTCTGAATTGCCGGCAATGCAGCCCAAGCTGACAACCATGTATCGGGCGCTGAAAAGCGACGGCTGAGTGAAGCGAAAGGTCTCAGCATTTCTGCACAGCCACAGCCCAGCCAGGAACAAGAGGATGCCATGACCCACCTGAGAAGGAAAGGGAGACGCAGTGCACGGAGGAGAAACAAAGGAAGGAGCCCAAGCTGTCTGACCAGGCCCGCCACATCTCCATACATCATGCCGAAGATGAATGGAAAGGTCACTACTGTCAGGAGGGCCGGGTTTGCCTCCTGAACACACAACACCCAAATCCAACTGAATCCAGGCAACCAGACACAGTCCTGGTACTTGGGAATGCCGTAAGTGTCAATGACGTCTTGAAATGCCTGGCATGTATGTGCTCCAAGACACTAAGCCAAGACAGAGGAGATATTGCAAGGGCCTCTGTGTAATCATTCACCCGGATATACGTTGGCGGTGTAGACTTCACGTTCTTGTCGGGAGTCAGGAAAGCTCCCTGCGACGAACCGGCCTTGGGGGACCACAGCTCTACTCCCCCATTTCAAACACACATCTCTGATCTCTGTATAAAATATTCTGTATTAGCGGCATTCAACTTCTGCAGCAAAGCTTTGATCTTCGCTTCTTCCGCAGCAGGGTACCAGACGTTCACCCTGGCAGGCAAACTGCAGTGCTTCGCTCTGCAAGCCAACCAGCATGTAGGATCACGAGTTGGAGACTCGTGAGACTTGAGGCCTGCATGGATCTAAGGGTCTGTGACCGGCAGAGCCGTAGCTCGAAAGCAACCAGCTCGGCACTAAGTGCGATGTAAGCGAAACAAGGTCTATGCAGGCGCTTGCAACATAACCCCTCACCTTGCAAAGAGCTTCAGGCCATGCATATACAGCATGTCCAATACAATTCCTAGAGGTGCAGGTGCGAGCAGCAATTGGAACTACATTTCCCCTAGCCGTTTCCTTTCAGAGCCTTCCGGGTCCCAACACCTCTGACGCGTGAAAGCCATTCCAAGTTTTCTCAGGCATGTAGCTGGACGTGGATCAACACTCTGCTGCTTCAAACCACCAATGCGATACTGTAGATTTTCTTGTTCAGAGCGAACCTCAAGCAGTTTCTTGCAGAGGGGCAGAGATTGTTGGAAGCGGCTGAACATGCTCAGGCCAGCCTCAGCGCGATCTCCCCTGAGCACAGGTTCAGGATGTTGAAGATGGATTTCTCCTGGCAGCACATCACACGCAAAGCTTTATCTGCCTTCGATCCTTGCCCCAAGGCCTTAATGCAAAATAGCCGCCACTCTTCCAACTTGGAGTTTGCCTCCGGGTTTTGGCCTTGGCTGGAGTCTGCATCTTCATGGCAATGGCCACCCATGCGTCGTGTCATCAAGCTTTGCGTTCAGACACACGTGACAGATGAAGCCGAGCAGGTCGCAAACTGCTTTGAAGCCATGAAGCTTGGTGGTGCCAACAGATCCTTGGCCTCAGTCTTCATGAAGAACTGGTAACCCTCCAGGGCAGTGTCTTTCTCTTTGACCTTGGCCATGCTTTCAAAACAACGCTGCCATGTCAGCACTTCAGTAAGATTCCCACCACGCTCAGAAGGTGGGCATGGCGGGTCTTCGCCAGTTCAGCGCTTGCTGGCCAGTTGTACATGTTGACGCCTGTGTCTGCATGAAACCATGCAGCGCCATGAGAATAACGCAGCAAACTTCAGCAACTTTCCAAAGGCTGAGCGGCCGAAAGCGGAACAAACCTTCAGCACCTTCTGCTGCATTGGCCCGCCAGCACCCTGGAAGTAGACCACGAACACGGACTTCTGCACATCTTGGCCTGGCCGCAGTTCAAGATACTTTCGCCCATCTGCAGTGGCAAAATCCCGTCCTGTCTTGGGATCCTTCACGGACTGGCTGATTGGAGTGAACTGCCTCAGCAAGAAATCTTAGTCGCAAGGAGCAAAGTCTGGAACATCGTCCAAGGCACGTGAAGGTATTGCCGCGAGCAGCTCGCCAGAGTGCCCGGGCAAAACGTGCCTGCGCATGTGAAGTCACGGTTGAAGACCTGCTTTGCCGTACTGATTCCTGCCTCGTCTGTCTTGGGCACCACGCCCGCTAAGTAGCCCAGCCTTTGCAAGACAACCGGATCATCGGACCAAAGGCAAGCGGAATGCAATCGAGATCAATAGAGCCGTCAGGCCTGCCGGTACCGGCACCGCCCTCTTCGCCACCCTGAGCTCTCCGTCTCTTAGACAACTTGATACAATTTGCAGTCCTTGATACAATTTGCAGCCTCGAAAAGGGTCCACATGCCGCCAGGTAGCCAGCAACGGCTTCTTTGCACTGGTATCAAAGCTCTCTTCCTCCGTCAGGTAGTCAGGAGATGGGCGAGAGCCCGTCAGCATTTCCTAGGCAAGAGTAGAGCAGAGATGAGGTATTGCGAATAGCCTACAGGCTTTCAAGGGACAAACTCGCGTTCCTGCCCTGGGCTCTCTGCCCACATGTGGGCATGTCGCTGCAAGCAAGCCACGCGTGCTACTGCCACCACCTCTGCTTCCTCAACGGCCTGAAGCGCGTGCTTCGTGATTCGTGCGAACAAGACCAGCAGCTGTTCTTGTTACTTCACCTGCAAATGTGATTATGCCAGACTCCCTTAACGGCCTAACGGCTGATGCAGTCACAGCTATTTGTCTGAGGCCTGATTGCGCTCGTTGGTGAGATTCACGTTGTTCTCCTGTGCACTTGTAGCTACACACAGGGACAGGCGCTCTTCTATCTGCTGTTGCTGCCGCTGTCCTTGAACCTCAGGAAGTTCTGGTACAAAGACTGAAGCTCACCTTCAACAGCCTCCAAGACATAACTGTCATCCGTCTGCAGGAACTCATCAACCTGAACGATGAACGATGGTTGCTGAGAATCGAAACGCCCTGTGCCGCATGCAAACTCTGTGCCCTCAGCCCAGCATGGCCCAACCTTGTTCTTGATCAGTTCGCATCCCTCAATTGAGCCGATCTCCTGTATGAGAAAGCGGATGATGCGCTCCATCTCGTCCTCAGCTTGGAGGAGCTTGTGCCCGGTGTAACCCTCGCCTCATAACTGATCCAAGCATCAATGCGCTGGATATGCTTCCGGTATGGGCGGCGCATGTCTCGGGCATTGTCGTCTTCGAACCTGTCGTCTATGTAGCAACGCCACCCCCCCCGGTTCTGGTTATTCTTCCTCAACTGATCGATGAGTACCTTGCTAGCCTCTTTTTAGCGCAAACAGGCGGCTGCAGATTCGACTCCTTCCCGAGCTGTCCGACAATGCGTCGCGCTTCGTTGACCGGTAGCACGAGCCTGCCGTGCAGCAGGCTCAGCTGTAAACTCAGCCCGTGGCAAATTTTGAGTCAGAACCTTATGATTCATCTCTTGTCCGATTTGCCAACTTATCATTATTGCTTGTCGTTATGCGCTGGCTTGGGCCACCGCACATGCGCATCCAAACATCTTTTCAACATCCCTTTTTTCGCTTCACCGTGGACGCAAAGACAGGACTCCCTTCCCGTTGCTTGACCAACCTGGTTTCAACACGAACCCAACGAAAAAAAGGGATGGCAGCCAGGGTGCATGCCATACTTCATCTGCTCTGAACGTAGCAAACCTGCAGCAAACGCTTGTGTGCAAGTACTCATCAGCAGCTTGGCATGCACTCACATCTCAAGAAGGAACCCTCACCCTTCAATCTGAGAGGCCCATTGCTGCGCCAGAGCAGACTCCACGAGGCGGCGGAGTGGATCAAAATCTGCCACTGGAAACGGTGAGCCGCAAAGCTGCAAGAGATCGTCCATTGGAAGTGTGAGGAAGGCATTTTGCTCAAGCAGCTCAACTCGTTCCCAAGTTGGAAAGCAGTGCAGCCCTAGAGCGCACGTATCAGAAACCTCTGAAGCCTGGAGCAAGAGCATCGAAAACTACAAAATGACAGTGCATGACTGCTGCTCGCCTCTTCACACAAATGGAGCAGACCCTGATTCCCCCAAGAACCCTCAGAACATGTTGGGAGCGTTGATCACAAGAGGTCAGAACTCAAGCCAGCAGAAGAACTCAGGCGAAGGCGCAGCAAATCAGATTCGACCCCATTGCCATGGCAATCCAATCGCGAAAGTAGCAAGTAAGGCTTCGGCTTCTGCGTTACGGTCGGTTCGTAGCTGGAACTAGGGAGCCTACCTCACTATGCTCACGACAGCTTCGTTGGGTGGCTCGCCGAGGACCTAGAAATGGGGTCATCAAGCAGCTGTCACATCGTGGAGCTTTGAGCATTAGCTGGCATCATTATGTGGTCGAAATCCTTTGTTTGGCCAGGCTACCGCACAAAATTCTCCGAAAGCTGGCAGAAAAAGGTGAAACAAAGTGACACTTTCACATGCCCGCAGCTGCTCGGCAGAAAACGGGCTGGCAACATCACGGCAGCGCTGCCGCGTGGGGTCTTGATGCGACATGTTGAGAACGAAGCGATTTCTGAAAGAGATTTGGATGCCTGAGAAAAAGGTGCCTGTGCATCCAACAGCAGCATCCAACCCCTTTGGGCAAGTTCCAGCAAAACACTTTGGACTTTGTGCTATTGGAAGCACTTTCCATGAGCGCAGCACTGCATGCGAACCTGCTGCTGTTGACTTAGAGCTTGCTCTCTGACGAACGCAAAACCAAGCCATGCAAAAGCAGGCAGTGCTTCCAGTGGCATCAGTGTCTTACGGCTGGCACCGTGGAACAATGGAACTACGAAAACAAGCAGGCAGAGTGTTCCATGAACAAAGCACGCCTGATTGAAGTGGTGAAACTACGAGAGAAACAAAACCCTTTGAGGGTTCAGTTGCCATTCCGAGGATGTTAAAGCGACACAGCTAGCAGCATCCCGTCAACATGCTAGCAATGAGCATGGCTTCCTTGGTTCATCAGGATGCGAATGTCACTGCTTGAAGCAGCAAGCTGCAAATTCACGAAATGCATGCAAAAATCCCGCTACGTCTGGGCTGAGGGCGGCATCAGCTTGCTGGCTTCAGGCTGTCACTTGAGACTTGCGCCAGGCTCGAGGCGTTCAGGAGCTCATCCTTCTGGATCTCGAGGCTCTGGGCTCCAAGCATCCACTCCTGGCTTCGCATGGCGGTGACCATCATGTGGTTCCTCGGTTGAGAGTTTTATACAGGCTCAGGTCTTTAACGAGTTCTTGAGCTGTCAAAATGAGCCCGCTGGAATGAAAGCTACCGGCAAACAGCATGCCCCAAGCGAGGCCCCCATCGCAAAGCAAAGAAAGTGTAAGCTCCGTGCGATCTCGGTTTGACTGGAGCCTAGAAATGCAGAGACTACCAAGGATGGCAAGAGGCAGGGAGGACTGTTGTGCATGGACACGAACTCGAGCAGCTACAACATAACAGCAGCTACACTCTGCCTTGTCCCAATCTTCAGAGCTGAAGCGGTCTCGACGAAACCTGCTATTGAGGGCTCTGGAGATTCTGAAGGACCGTCTGCCAAACCGATCCACTGCACTTACAGCTGGTTCCTCGAGCGCTGCGGAAACGGGTGCTCCGCTGTGGGCTCTTCAGCAGAGCCTCGCGAAGGCTGCCAAACATGCATCGATGTCTATGTGCCTGAGCACGCTTGCGATGTCTATGTGGGGGGTCTCCAAGCCTCGTCGATCCCCCTGGCAGGTGAGACTTTGAAAAATGCAATACCAAAACGATCTCGGAGGTACCACGAAAACTGGCCTCGACTGCGGGCAGGGTATGGCTGCGCGGAAGGGTCTTGGATGCCTTGGAGCTGGGAAGAGCAAGAAGGCTCTAAGGCTCTTGAAGCTGCTACTCGGGACTTGGGGCCCTGGCAGTCGACAAGGCAGGTGCTGTTCTGCTGTGCTTTAACTTTCGGGCCTGGCCGGAAAAACAGGACAAGGCACACTCAGCAAGCGTCAGACACGATCAGGCAGCACCTCCTTCGTGCCTGGCAGGGCCTGCAGCTAGCTTTCACTTCCAAAGCCTAAGCATCCTGAAGCCCAACGTTACAGCAGTTACAGCTGCGCAGTCCTCTTTGGATGTTGCAGAAGAGGATGGCAGTGACCTGCAAAGTACGGCTCAGTTGCACCAGAACAGGAAGCAAGGCAATATCGGAAGTTGATTGATGCCATGTGTGGCAGGCCACAGAAGATCGGCAGCTCTCTGCATGCCAGCAATGACTGACCAACCTTGACTGTCCCTCTGACGAAGTTGCAGTAGCATACTCCATGCTCACAACCTTGCAAGCGCGACGCAGACTACCCTCATGCAACCTTGATTCCTGGACTAGCAGGCTGAGACTTTACAAGCGCCAGAACACGAGACACAAGATGATATCAACCATCAGCTCATCAGCACATGGACATATCGAACTTGAAAGGCCCAGGAGCCGTTTGTGAGGCAGCTCTGCCTCGGCACAAGACATTTTGCCAGCAACAGCTAGTGCATCGCATACGGGGCATCAAGTTTTGAAGGCGACACATGGCCGTACGTCAGACTTCGATCGCGCCCTTTTGGCGTTTTCTACACAGCTGTTCTATGCTATCTGGTGCTGCGCCAACTTTGACATAAATGACGTAAGTGTTTTAAAAAAGCAAACTGACACACGGCATAGTGGCGCATCACCAGGCCTAAGAGTCTAAGGATGAGCCAGGATTTCTGGCGGTTTCTGCAACTGTCATGAGGCAAGGTCAAATGGCTTGCTATGCTAGACTGGCATTGCAGTGCTGCTTCACACCGCATGGCCATAGCGCTGTGCTTTTGCGAGCGCACCTCGGCCATGGCAAGGAGCAACTGATCTGAAGGTTCAAACCATTGAGGACTCAATGAGAACGTGGCGAGCTCGCCGTGCAGTTTCTTCGTCCACCTCTTCCTCCTGCAATCTGCAGATTTGCAGTTCCAAGCGGCGTGGCATTGAAAAGACAGCGCTAGCAATCAAACAATGCCAACCCTGGGACTGTTGTGGTGTGAGCCTGCTTCATCATGTGACGACAGCATCCCTGCTACATGCCGCAATAGCCTCATGGCTTTTGCGTTTCTGGTTCCGGCATTTCCTGAACGTATCCTGATGTACTCTACATCTTTGTCAAGTTCTGTTTGGGATGCACCTGGGCGATAGGACCACACATGTTCCACCTCAATTCCGCGGTTTCAGTTCAGTCCAGTAACTCCAACTGTTTCAATTAATCTAACCAACTTATTCAAGTAATTCAACTAACTCCAAAAATTGAATTCCAGTCAGTTGGATTGCTTGCTGTCATCGAACTGTTTTGAGGAGCTTGGACGAACTGACTGAATTAATGACTGAACTAATCAAATTACATTCAAGTGCTACCACCAA